ATTTCTTTTGTAGGTTAAAATGTTCCATAAATCCACGCTTCTCATTCTGTGTCCATGTTTTGTCATATACTTTATACGTTATACATTTTATATAAGTTTGTTCAATGTTTTTAAGGCTCTGTGCTCTGCAGAAGGGCTTTTGTAATTCAGAAAATATAGTTGCCTGTCTCTTTCTGATGCTATATGACAAGCATGATCAACATAAATGTATTGGACTTCAAGTAATTAAAGCAGATTGATGTGCATCAGTGCTACGCAAACAGATTATTGCGCTATAATGGACTTATTAGTTGGCTGTGACTGCCTGTTTATTGAAATATTTTATAAACAGTTTAATTATTGAATTTGAAGGCTTGTAAAAAGATGATTGATAAAACAGCCTTTCTGTTGTGCCGCTAGGACAAAACACAGAGAATTAGATTATAAAAGATGAGGTGGTGCCTGCTTTGATTTAGTCAAGGCTACCTAATAATGTATGTTAACGTTGCTTAAGTGTTAAATCTGAAGGCATTTCTTTTTATTTTCCTGCAAGTGCAGGGTAGGTCACTGGCTGATCAATGAACATTTGAAGGTATTTTAAGCATTGCAAGTTTTTCAGGTTAGAATATCTGCTAGTCCACTAAATATCTAAAATTAGTCATATTACAGTTTTGAAGCACAGTTCTATGGCACAAGCATAGCATGGATTTGTAACCCACCCAGTACTTATCAGAAAGCGGCTTATTTCTCATAATGGTCCCAGGAGCCCAGAGCCTATTCCAGAAGCACAAAGCACAGGGCGGAACTGCCTGGGACAACAGCCCACGGCAGGGCACAGACAGGGACAGTTTATAGACAAAACAAATTGTGTCATTTATATTTAGTGCTATACAATGCCACTAGCCATTACTTAATACTTCTTCAAATTAAAAACTGTATTAAAAAAATTAAAATGTATATGTGGTCTGATTAGGATAAGTAGTAATTGCCCTCTCAAAACTAACAAAATATCTTCCCAAACATTCTTCCTTTAAGGGAATCTTCACAGTTGCCAGTCTCCAGTGCAGCTGAGCGATGAGGCATTTCCTCCCTCTGTACACTCAGGTGTTCAGTGAGACTGGATTACACAGTGGCAGTAGTAAAGACAAAATAAATTTTGGCTGAGGAAAGAAAGAAAGTAATCTTGCTAAGGAGGCTTTCTGTTTTAGGTTGTGTACATACTCAAATGGAGAGAAAACGGAGACAGTTCTTATTTTTTGCCCTTTGCTCGCTTGATCTTGCTCAGCTCATCTGCGTGTAAACCTGCATTTCATCCTTTAAACTCCTTATTCCACAAAGCATTGGTTGCATTTCTCTTTTAATGTCTTCCTCTGCAGCACTTAGGTCTTTAATATTTGAAAATGCTTTTTTATATTGGATGTATGTACTACTACAGAGAAAAGCTGTTCTCTAAAATAAAAATTACTTGAATGATTGCAGCCATTTTTTGGCAAAAATAACAGTTCTGTCCTGGCTGGTTGGAATACGCAGAGTAGGGCATACATTTACCTTCTGTAATAATCCAGTGTGAAGTGGGCAGTTATTAAATCTTATAATGGGTACGAAATCACAGGCAAGTGCCACTTTTGAGCCCTCATAATACAGTCCTGGGATGGAGGTGAGATTCACCCAGGCAGTCAGTCACTGAGCTGAGACGCTTCGAACAATTCCCAGCAAATTGTTCATTCAGAGTGATCCATCAGATACATAGCAAATCTTGGTATCTGATGGTCTTTTCAAACCTTGCTTAAATAGACCTAATAGTGATAGGTGAGGAAATCAAAGCAGAAACAGAAATATTCTCCAGATCAAAAATCAGGCTTCAGCTTTGAAATCAGAAGTAGGATGAGTTTGTAGTTCCAATGTCAAATGTGTTTGCTACAATTGTCTTCAGTAGGATGCTGACTAATCCAAGTAAGAGATGTAAAAATAGTTTACATATTTTTGGGTTGAGGTCAACAAGCATATAACTGAAAAAGAGAGAAAAATGATGGAATTAAAAGGAAAGCAGATCTATTATCATATTATAGCCAAAAAAGAAACCACTGAATAAAATATTCTGTAATTTAAATTATTTCTCAATTTGCGATTTTCACTTAATTATAATGAAGATCTAGATATTTTCCCATTGTGTAGTCCTGATATTAGTCATATTTTATTTTGTATGTAGCTTCCATATGATACTGATTTAAGAGCAGATTATTGATCAATAGAAGTATTCACAGATTCTGATTTAAGAATGTGACCAATCACTCCACTTTTAACCTTTAACCACACAAGTTGTAATTTTGTTTTTAGAAAATGTATTCTTATAGCTTTTTATTTTCAAAGTTTAAAGGAGGTATTATTTTTTAATAAAAGTTTTTCACCATTTACTGTGTTGCTGCTCTGTTGAGAGTTATATTTATTACTTGTGCAACAGTGTGGAGCAAATTATTTTTTCCTCTGTGATTAGCTTTCAGTCTTGTTGTTCTCAGCAGGTTATACTGTACACTGTGAATCAAATCAAGACACAAAATGTATAATGAATTATAAATCACTGCAATATTACATGTGGTTTAGGAAGTAGGAAGCTGTTTTGGAAGCAGATTAAATATATTACCTGTATAGAATTCAAATTCAAATACTTCTGTGCATTTAATACATTTAAAGATGGTACTTTAACCTGAAAAGCTCTATTTTTTATTTACTTTTCAGTTGAATCATTACATATGTAAATGTGCCTTTTAAGTGAATATTGAGTGGATAGTTAACAATCACAATAGATGTACTTCTTGACAGATAAAAAGGTTCCTTTCTCATACCGAACAACAGATATTCAGTTTAGTGTCCTGTAGATTACAGCTTGTTCATCAGATCACACTTTTTTATAACCCTAAATGGGTTACAAAACATTTACATTCTAATGTTTATTTGGTGCTATACTGTACATGGGATTAATGGTTTTGGATGTGTTCATACCTTGAATAATCCAGCTATTCCCATACTGACGTTGTAATACAAAGACAATCATCCTAAGAGTATAAAACAGAAGAAAGAGAAAGGTGTGCTCGAATGTCAACAGATGTCTTAATGCCCCATCTCTGTGAATTTTATTCAGTGATTTGTAAAGCACTTTTTTCCATCTCCTGTAGCAAAACAGCAGTGACATGAAATTATTTTCATCATCATTAAGCTTTGATAACCTTTGAAAACATGAAGTGATACTGTATGTTTTAAGTATCATGATCAAAAGCAGAAAGTAGCTAAAGGTAATATGTTTAAAGTCTGTTAAAAGATTTTTTTTCTTATTGGATTTTTTGTGAGGCTTCTGCTTGGCTGAAAGCTTTCCTTTTGAGCATTCATATCTTAATGATAAATATTCAAAATGTGTACATCATTTGTAATTAAATACAATGGGATATTATGGAAAGGGGGCATATACTGTACTTTTTCAGGACACCAGATATATGACTGTACTGTAGTGTTGGTGGCGGTCTTTCCTCTGGATCAGAATTTCCAAACCAGTGCCCCATTGTGATTTAATAGATTCTGTTCTTTGGATGAGACATTAACTTTCACTACTTGGTCATTAATGACTCCATAGCACTATTCTAAAGAGCAGGAGTGTCAGCCCTGGCGTCTTGGCTAAATTCCGCTTTGTACTTGTAGTCCCTTAGTTAAATTTGGTGAAGCTGTTTCTCACTTCACTTGATCAACTGGGTAATGAGGCTATAGATGAACGTGTTCCCCTTCTGTATGCAAAGTGCATTTAGATCCTTTGTAATGATAAACATTATGCTTTAAGAGTGCAAGCAATTCTTATTACAATTATTAACCTTTGGATTTTAAATTATAATTACAAAAGCTGCATTCCGGTCACAGAATATGTTATATTATTGATACGTTTAGCTTTTGGGTGTGTTATTCAGCCCTTTAACAGGAAAAGCATAACTGAGCAAACAAGACTTTGACCATTTATCTTTTCATTCATTTATTTTGAAGCCATAAAGGAGAAATACAGTGACTGGACTGAGTTTCTTATCCAGGAGCTCACTGGGTCCCGTACTGCTCCTGCCAACTTGCTTGAAGGGGTAAGTTCAAGAATTTTATATTCTTTGTGTAGCGCTTTGCGTGGTGATTTTGAGTCTTTAACTTCGGTTGACCAAATGCACGTCTGTTCCACTGCCAATCTGCAGCCTCTTCGAGGGAAAAACACTGTGGATCTCATCATGGTTGATTCACTGATAGAACTGCAGGACTGCCAAGACCCTTTCCAGTACTGGATGGTTCGAGTAATAGAGAACATCGGAGGGAGACTGCGACTTCGATACATTGGGTTGGATTGTGACACACATGACGTATGGCTATTTTACCTGGACTTTAGGCTCCGTCCTGTTGGCTGGTGTCAAGAGAACAGATTTTCAATGGAGCCACCTAAAGGTAATGTCTAATATTACTTCTTATCAGAATTACCTCACCATAGATAATTAATGAGATTGCTGTATGTTGCAGGATTGTTGATGTTGCAGGATTTTTTACACTTGTGTGCACTTAAAACATATGATGTTCAATATGATGTTATATCAACATAACAGACTTTTAGAGTGGCCTTTTCCCTGTTCTCAGTGATGGCCTCTAGCAAACAGGCAGCGTTCCAGTAATCTGGGTTTATTAAGATGATATCAAAAGACACTGAAAGGCAATAGGGAAAGCAGCTATAATATATAATAGCTACTCATAGAATACCATGAAAAAATTATTTGGTTTTGCGCTAAACATTTTTAAACAAAAAACCATTAAGAGGTACATATATATAATAATATGGACCCTTACATTTTATTATTTTTTAATCTTTTTGATGCCATCGTGAGACCAAGAAAAAGTTACTGAGTTCAATTTCATACATGGGAGAAAATTTCCATGAGTCAAATCCAGACCGAATGACCGAAGGGACAGAAGTAAGCCATTATTGAAAAATCCAGATCCAATCCTGTATGAAGTTTTCAGGAAAGTATTTAAGTGATATTGCAGACATGTAACGAAAGTGTTTTTGTGACAGATGAAGAAATTGGAATTTAATGGTGTGAATGCAAAGCATTACATCTGGCACAAACTCTATTCGGCCAGTGTTATTATGTTATGAGGCTCTTTAACATCAGCTGAAACGGAGAAACTTGTCAAGACTGAGAGGAAAATGGATGGCACAAAGTACAGACACGTTTTAAGGGAAAAATTCTTTATTCCGCCAAAGCCAAAGTTACACTGGAGTGGTTTATTGAAAAAAAGTGAATGTCAAATATGTGACTTGAACCCGACAGAAAATCTGTGGCAATAAATAAAAATTGCTGTCCATCCATCAATGATCCCCAATAGACTTTACAGGGCTGTGTGTGGTAGAGACTTATCCAAATGGACTTCCAACTGCAATTGTTGCCAAATGTATTATCAAGTGTGGAACCTGAATGGTTAACTTCTTAACACCCGTAAAAGATTTTAGTTTGAGCATTCAGGTTTGATATAAATATTCACTTTAAAAAATATGCGTAAAAATGGGAAATTATTTGAAAGAGAGAAATACTTTTGCAAGGTACTGTATACATAAAGTGCAATTGTATTTTTCAACAAATTAAGTATCCTTTTTAGCTTTAACCCCGGGTTCAATTTGTGGTAGTAATCCTGTGCTTTTAGACAATAACCCTGATTACTCCATTTCCGTCAGCAGTAAGCCTGAGTCTTTTGTTTTCATGTGATCTGTCAGAATGTAACACACAGTTTTGAATAGCAAAAAAGAATGTACTGTTGCATAAGAGTACAGCATCATTTATACCAAACTGCCAAGGAAGTTAACTGATGTCATGTTAACAATGTCATAGACAGCTCATAAACTATATGATCTTTTGTAATCTATAGATATCTACAGACATTCAAACAAATTCCTACATTATTTCCCATGGAACTTTTGCACAGTTTCTTAAATATATGACTGCAAACTATTTTGTAGTCTCCAATTAAATTGAAGTCTGTTAGTTTGTTAGGGCTTTTAATCTAGCAAAATGTCAAGGGCAAAGAACAATATGTTGATTCAGTCCTTTACAGCACCATTCACTTCTGAAAGAATGTGTGTGGGGGATCTACTGCAGATTCATAAGAAAAAGTAAGTTTCTAGGAAATGAAATTTAACATTTTGTTATGTAAGAGACCTTGCCTTTCTTGAAAGTAAAGAATTGCTAAATGGCAGTTATTTAAACAGAATAATTCCAGGTTCCAGTATTTATTTGGACTCACTCTTAGATTAACTCAGTGTTAAATAACCCTGACGTCAAGCATTTTGGTAGGCAGGTAGGCAGGGATAGAATAACCAAAGCATAAAGACTGTAAGAGTCTGGCCTTTTACACCCCTGCAAGATACTTTTTAATGGACCTTTAATAGTCTTAGCATTAGCTGCTGGGTCATGCTGCTTGTACTTTTATGCATTGTCTGACATGGTTGTTGTCCGCAGAGATCCAGGGTTTGAAAGCCGCCCCCGAGTGGAAGGAAGACCTGGACAGAGCTTGTACTGAAGCAGCAAAGAGTCCTTTGCCACTAGAGGTGTTCAAGGTTAGAGTTTAACCTTAGTTCTGCAGTTGTCTCTGGAGAACAGAGGTTAGAAATTCACAGTAGTCATGTCTTTTAACTTCAAAATGCACATTTTCTCATGTAAAATAAAAAACTAGCTATACAGCTGACTAAGGATACTGCTACATGTTCAGGAATCGCGTATGAACTTAAAGTGCATCTCGCATACCATACAGTTTCACTTTTAGTAATAATAGTTATATTTTCTCCTACCAGTTTTTTCAGATCTAACAAACCTCTCAGCCACATTGCAGAGGCAGGTTCACATTGGGTTGCCAGTATCTTTATCATTATCTAGGAAAATATTATTTTTTTGTTTGCTATTTACTCAGGTAAGTATACTGGAGGCTCTTGTTATTTTTCCTGTTTAAATCCCACTTCACTTAATGACAGTCACAGACTTAAAAAGTGAATATGTGAATATTGTTGTACTAATTTATTGTATAACTTATAAATTGCTCTAATTATAAAGATAGCTTTATCCTTTATATATATTGAATACATGGAATATTGAATTCATGGTGTACCTCTCAAATATGTGAAAAAGTTGGCTATTTTTGAGATCCTGCAACATGTCTGGATTTCCTCATTTTAAAGTCATTCAGAATGACACGAGAGGCTTTACTGGTCCTCCCATCACTTTTTGAACTTTTATAAAACTATAAACTCATTCTAAGACCACAAAACCTGCTCTGTTTGCAAAGCCCTTGATTTTTAAGAGTTTATTCATATGACTTTCCTGTTTCAAAAACAGACTGTGTCTGTGTGTGGTTGAAAGTGTCAAGAATAAACCAAAAAAAGTCCACTTAATAAGTCATGTTTCTGCACATGGGGTTGCTAGAAAATACTGAAAAAACTTAAATTATTCATTACACACGGATAATCAGGTTGGTTTCTTCACTGAAAGGGTGATAACGATTACACCAAATACCACACTGACTTTCAGAAAGATTCACAATGCACTCCTACCAATGAAGTCATTTTCAGAATCTTCAACGTTCAGTGAAATGGAAGTTCCCTGAACTTGGCGCATCAAAATGCATTTCATTTTTTATAGCCGAACTTTGCTATTCACAGATGTTTGTGTGTTAATTATTCTACAAGAAAGATTCATGGTAACAGTCATGTTCATGAATCCAGGGTTTGTTTAGGTTTTTTATAGGGCTGGTTTTCCCTTTTACAATTATGTCTATTTCTGAAATATACGTTCTGAAATATATGTTAAGTGTTCGCCTTAGCAGCAGCCATCCTCTGCACACACTTTTCCAGATCAAAGAACAGTTTTGTATAATTACAGCTGCATTATGTTAAATGGCAAATTAACTTAATCATAATTAACTAACAGATAAATTGACTACAGAGTCAGTTATTTAGCATTGTAAATGTGCAATCCTGTGGTAATCTTCCAAACATTGTACAAAGTAAAAATGCATTTAACCCTGCTTTAACAATATACTCTAAAATATTTGGGTTGCTAGAGGACTGGTGATGCTTATGAAATACTGTATATTTGATTGTATTTTGGTTCTATAAAACTCACAATGCAAAAATGTATCTAAAACAATTTTATGTTAGTAACCAGTTACAGAGTATCAGAAATCCAATATGCAGGCAATACAAATGACTGTATGCCTGATTTCATATTTTCTCTAGCTGCTCTCCATAGTTGATGTAGTTAAATACACCAGTCCTGCTGTGAGAATACAGACATTGTTTTCTTGACTAATCTTGACATGTTTTTCCTTTATCTTTAATAAGCCACTATACTTATCAGTGCTGTTTGTTTAATGATAAATATTAGCTTTTGGTATTACATATTATGGTCTCCTTTTAATGAGGTATTCATAAAAGAGTAGCTCCTAATCACAACTTAAGAAGTCTGTGTCAATAAATATTGATTTGACAATATTTCGTAAGGTTAGTTTGACTTTGTACTTTGGTCTTTGTCCTTTATATCAAGTTGTGCTGTGAATGCTTCACAGAGTCTTTATTGCTTTAAATCATACATAAGTAGGAGTTCCCTGTAAACCTTTTCCGACGGGTTTAATAATGTGTTCTTATGCCGAGAGTAAGCATTTTTTGCCTATAGCAGCCAATAAACTACCATAACTTTTTTTTCTTTGGGATCAGTGTATCCTGTCACTTAACCAAGATAAGTGCCTCCAACAAAATGCTTGAAACTCTGCTTGTGGTGTCAATGTAGTCATACCTAAATTGTTTTCCATGTACTGTAGCAGCTCTATTTTTGTACGCCTTATATCAAAACTAGAAGATACACTGAATTTCTTGCAGCTCCAGGAATATGTAAAATATATAGAATTAAGTCTTAACAAAACAGTATGGCTGACAGTGTGCAGTGTAAATTGTCATTTATTGCATGTTACAACACCTAAACTGGAGTACATGTACACATGGTCATGGCAAGGTTAATCTGTATTTTATGGAAATCTGTGTTTAAATTAAACCAGTGGTATTTGAGATTATTTTAATTTTTTTTTCAGTTCCTTAATCCTGGAATAAAATCTGAGGATCAAGGACAATTTTCAAAGATATTGTTGCTACCAAACAGCATTCCATTAGTTCTTTGGAAAATGTAGTTTAAGCACTGCTACCTCACAGGTCTCACAGGTTTTGGGTCCAGACTGGAACACCTTCGCCAGCGGCTGGTTCCGTCCCCAGTCCACAGCCCAGTGGTCTAGGTTAATTGTCTCTGTGTTCCCCCAGTGTGCCAGTGTGCTTGCCAGTGTAGTCTCAGCTCGCTCCCTTTCCTTCCAGGATGGACTTGGGGTTGCAGCGACTCTTGAAAGGAAATAAGTGTCTTTCTGGTAGTAGAGTAAAGGAGGATTAAATGAACAAAATACATATATTAACTAAAAGAAAGGATTCAGTTTATTCAGAGTACAGATTCTAGCAGGTAGCTTCCCAGAACCTTTCTTCTTTGTATCGTAGTTGTAGCGCAGGAAATGAAACCTTCATGGCTACTGTAAGTTATTTTAAACTGTTCCCTAGAAACCTGGAAGTCTGTTGCTACTGTTGCTCTGAGGGATTAATTACAGTATGTTAAATGGTTGTTTATGGTGTCCCACCTTATCAGGCTACAGGTTGTCACAAACCTTACCAGGAGTGAGTGTCTTTCTAATATAATTCTGAAGCATCCTTCTTGGATGTTTTGTTATGATTGTTATCAAAGTGGCCATGTGGTGTGGCCATGTACTGTAATTGTTTCTCTTTGTGTATATGTAAAGGTGTGCCCACATCTGTCTTTGCTGATGGTGGTTATGCTGATGTTATGCTAAAAAAAATCTAAATACCAATGTATCTGCTGTTACCTGAAAGGAAGTTGTGTTATAGAGAACTGACCCAGCTGTGTGATTCAGGGGCTGCAGTTTCTACAGTGATTTGGTTTCAAATATGGAGTCTGAGTGAATGACAGTGATCTGTTCTAGAGGTCATTGGCAACACATAATGTGATATCAATATATTTGACTCTGAACAGCAGCTATTGTTAATGCCTATGTGGTTCATCTTTGTTACATTGCAGATACATATTTATATAAAAATAGGATAATGTATTTAAAATTAAACAGGGCTATAGTTTAAAAGTGTGTTGGCTTTTTTGTATCCTCAAACAGTAGTTCAAGCATAAAGGGTGAAAGTTCTGTGCAAAGTACTGTATACTCGAAAGTCAGCGTGAAGCCAAAAACAGAACAGAAACTTTGCAGTTGAAAGGTAGCTCTCTCACCCTAGAGTTAAAACAAACCTAACCTTGAAACTCATCCTTACAACCTTTATCAGTTTGCCTGGAGACCCATACTTCATCAGAGATCCTCTTTTAGTATACAAATATATTTAATTATAGTGCATGTATTTAATAATGCAGTGAATGTTTTCTACTGCGTGCATTTAACTGTATGTTCTTAATTCTTTAGGCTGTGGGAACATTTTTTGTGGGTCAACGTTTTGCTTCAGGGTTTCAAGATTACACTTTATAGATGGATAATATGCCAGATGTTAATATATTTGTAAAGTATTAAGAATGGAGTAAGCTCCCTTTTCCAAATAACCCTGGGATTGAAGCTAGGTTCATGCTATGGTCAAGGTTAGTTTTTTTTCCATGTGTAGTAGTTGCTGGTTATTACCACAATTTAAAGTAATGCTTTAGAAATATACTGTATTCCATGAAGAAATTATGAACAGCACTCCTAATATAAAGAAGTGCCTTTTCTTCTGAGTAAAGGTACTGATTTGATGTACACTATCTTAACCTAAACCATACTTGTCAGCTTACCCAAATATTAACCATAACCTCACCTTTTCAGTGTTGCTACGCTTGAACGAATTTCTTCATTTAAAAAGATTTTCATGATGTACATTTTCCATTCGCTCAAATTCAGTGATTATTTTCATATAAAATTGATTCCTTTTCTAATGAATTTTCTTTGTAATCATGTGGTGTGCCGTTCACTGAAGTATCATTTTTATGAATATGATATACATGTTATTAAAAATCTCGTTTTTGAAGTGGTGGTGTCCAAACATTTGATAAATGGTGCAATTAAAAACTTAAATGTAGCAATAGTGCTGTTTCTCAAAAACAAATCCTCATATGTAAAAAAAATGAACATAAACATATCATGAATAATATACTGTACAGTATTTTAACTGAAGTTACAGTATTTCCCTCAATGAAAGCAGTTCAGTGACAATGATATGTTATTATTCATTGGGAACATTTCTCTGATTGATTTAATTAATAACAATGAAGTAGATTTCTTCAGGGCTATCACAGTTGTGTATTAAAAACAGATTTACAACAATCAACAGTGGTGCCCGGATGACAGCAGTAATCGATAATGATGATATTGTCAGGGCTGCTGTGTTTTAAATTGCTTTGAAATTCAGTTCACTAATCCTAAAGTACACACTATAAAGAACATATTTATTGAGGTTTATCAGCCAGGTTGACACTGCAAAATAAGCTAAATCAAATCTGCATCAGCTCTGATTCGTGTGAATTTTCTGCTGTACACGGTGTGCTTGAGGGAATGAGTAATGTCAAGGATCCATCCAAGGAAAGTTATTCACTGTAACATTCATGCCCTTGGTCAGTGCAGTGACTGATTCATTTTTCTCAGTGTAATTGCTTGTGGAATATTAGAAAAATAATTTACATTTTTTAAAAGACTACATTTCACTGTATAAAAACTTGGGAATCTGGTAATGATAAATACAATTTTATTTATATACTGTGATAGCTCTATCATGCATATTAAATGTTGTATGATTAATGTACATGTTATAAAGTCATTGCCTGGAGGAGTATAAACTATTTTTATTCATTGGAAGAGATAAAACTGAGTTTTTATTTTTCTTTTGAGTGTAGAGTTTAGAGAAAAAGCAGACTAGCCTAAACAGTGATTTACAGCGCCATATATTTGTACCTCACCCTCAACAGAATTGTTCCTTATCTTTTATTTGGTAGCACGAAAGGACAGAACAATTTAGCAGGCTAAATTTGTCTACCTCATGTTTTTGTTTGACTTTGTATGCATACAAAAACTGTCCAGCTACTGCACATTTTTCTTTTCTGTCTTGTCTGATATTATTTTTAATGCTTAAAGTTCATGGTTCATAGTTGTAGTTATTGCTCCCAAAACATCTTACTTGAGTAGCCAGGAATATCCTTTGAGGCCTTGAAAATCAGGAAGGCAGATACTAGAAGCAAGCTAACTGGTTGCTTCCGAAGATATGCCATGACCTGGAGAATATTCAAATAAATTCAGCTTGTTTTCATAATGTGGATTATGTTGTGGTACAGTGATAAATCCATTTATTCTCTAGAGATAAATTCCTTTTTTATTACAAAAAATACCATTGTTTTGCTTTTACTTACTTTTTATTGGACCAGGAATATCCTCTACATTACATTAAATGATACATAAACTGAAAATCGTCAGCCCGAGCTGTGGTCTTTTAACTGAAGTTAAAGCTCCCAACTTGATTTTGTAGAAGGCATATATTGAATTTGCTTGTGCAGTAATAAGTGTATAGTAATAAAAGATTTAAGTCGTGTTTCGGCTTGAAGACCTCCTGTAGGTAAAAAACATTTATCATATTAACAAAAAATTTAAGAATGTAGGTTTAAAAAGAACATTTACTTTTATGTAATGTTAACATAATTTTTGGAATAATCTGCAAACGTTCAAACCAGCTACTGTAGCTTGATTGGTAGTAGCTAACTGATAACTGGTGACCTATACTGTGCCATATTCTTTACACTATGCCCTTTGAATGTTTTTAATAAGATGTCAGATGTAAAAATACTGAGATCCTTGATAAATCCAGTCTAAATTCCTGAAATCTGTTTTTGATGTAAAGTGTTGTACCTCTACCTCTTCCATCTATGTTTATCCACTGATGTATTCATCAACAGCATTATCTGTAAGCCATGTTTTGGAAATGTGGGATGCAAATGTATAATTTTTGCATGTCCTTCAAAAAGACTTACTGAATGTTCCTTTTATTTTTTGGGATTACTATACATAATATGTGTCACGATTATAGCTCCCCCTCCTTAAGGGCGCTCCAGCCCTTTCACTTTAGACTTTATTCTGTGCACCTGTTTCCTATTCCCAGGCCACTTTAAAAGCCAGGCGCTGATGCTCATCCGGGCTCTGCATCTGGTTTCCGCACCGTGCGAGTCCGGGACCTGGAAGCGCCTGGTCCCGTTAAGGTTTTAGTCTCTGTTCCTGTTCCTAGTCCGCCGGTTCCGACCCGGTTCGTGTTTTTAATTCCGTGTTTTTGATGGATCACCTGGCTATAGACTTCCTCTTGTGTTTTTGAATACCCTCTTTGGATTACTCTTTTGGATTGTTTGCCTCGGCCACACCTTCCCCGTGCAGGAGCGCACTTTTGGACACGCCCCCCTGTTTACAGCCCCGTATTCCTGCATGACGTTTCCCTAGTGTTTCCCCACTTCTTTGGATTGTGTCGTCCGCATAGGGTCCGGAAAGAACTGTTCGTTACAATATGATTTACCAGAGTGTGATTTACCAGATCTGTTCATTTATCATTACTTTTTTATCATTAGTTTATCCCATTAGCTTAATTGCATTTTTCTAGTTTTCCTAAAAAAATAATGAATGGAAATACGTTCTTGAAGAATTCTAGGAGCTCAGTAAATTGTGACTCCAAGGAGAAACCAAACCGAGATAAGTCAACAATCTAATCCAGATCCTCCTCAGCAGCTGTGCTTTTCTTTCCCCTGACATACCACGAGTCAACTTTTTGACATTACCACAAACTGGTTACATCTGTACATCAAACACCTGCACTGTTGCCCATTATCAGTGGCAGTTAACATCATCATTCGCTCACCTACTGAGAGGGCATTTAGCTTTTATTTTAAACTAGCCTCAGTGCACTGGGTAGCCAAGGTGAATGTAATGTAGTTTTCTCATTTTTTTACATTTATTTTCTGGTATATACAGTATATATAAACAGTGTTAATGTTTTTTCATGATCCTTATAGAAAGTAAGACTTGTCGCCAGTGAACCTTGTTTAGCCACAGCCTTTCAATTCACAATTGCATGCCCAAATGGAGGTGACACTCTAGTGACAGTGGTGAAAGCTGCTGTCATTCAGTTATTAAGGATTTTCACTAACTCATTTTGTGGGTAACATATGGAGTGCTTGTTTCTAATCACAAGGAAAAAAAAACATTGCTCTGATTTTATGATCACTTAGTGTTTTGGTTTATCCTGCCATTTCTGGGAAGGGAAAATTATTTAGTATTCAGTTTGTGTTTGCAGAAGACACTTCAGAAAGAAACAGTCTGGATCAGAGAATATAGCACACGGTAATGTCAGTGAAGTGAGACAACATCTCTGGGGTCCTTGAGCAGATTTCAAGCCATTCATCAAGAACACAACACCGAAACATAAAGAAAAGAGGTGTAAATACAGCAATTAGAAGGCTGTATGCAATCATGTCAGTGTTGAGCTAATGCTAATTAAAGCCTTCCTTTACATTTCAGTAGAATGTATACTCACTAATTATGCAAATTAATCTGGGTATTCAGTAGAAATGCCTACACTTTATAAACAGCATGTTTTTATGCAGTTAATCCAAAATAAATTGCTAATATATAGCATTTGAATAAAAGCCAAGTGATTTAAGGGAAATTATATTCTTTAAACATATTTATCATCATGTCAGTTTTTCCATGCTTCAGTTCAGATGTGCCTTCTTAATTTCGTTTCATTTACACAGAGTCTCTCAAGGAGTTAAAACTCACTGAACTGGTGGAACCAGCAAATCAAGGAGACATTTCATGGAATATTTGCATTGATTATCACAATGTACAACATTTGTAGCTTCATTTAACCTGTATTGGTACAGCTTTTCTACTGAACCAGGAAAATAAACAGAATAGTACTGTATGCTTTGTTTTAAAAACTCAAAATAATGCAATTCCATAATAATGCACATGATATTAGTTATGCTGTTTTCTTATTTGTTCTGTTTTTGAAAAGAATACTAAAAATGGGTTTCCAAAAAAATGTTATACGTTATAATCAACCAGTATGTTATACAACCAAACAAAAAATATTGCCTTGCAGTATAAGCTAAACTCTATGCAGAAAATGTAGTGTAAAGTGAAAATAATACTTTCATGTAAAATTTAAAAACCCAAAGCAATAAACTATAACAAATATAATGTATTCTATTTCATGGGATATGATGCATTAAGACAAATTACTCTTAAAATAAATCATCAGCAGAGATTGTTTTCTTAATAGGTCATTACTAAGTGACCCAATACATAATTATGCAAATAATATTAAAATAATAATTAATACAATTCCAAACAAAAGTGGTTTTGTTGAAAAATATTGAACAAAAACTATTATATTGATTTGACTTTCCAGGATCACGCCGACCTGTGTGCCCACTCCTTCAAGGCTGGGATGAAGCTGGAGATGGTGGACCCTGAGGAGCCCTTTCACATCCGCCCAGTGACCGTGACCAAGGTGAGCAAGGAGCATGCATTTACACCAGCTACTTACCCCAGTGAGCAATCCGTCCTGTGCTGTTAAAAAAACGTCTTTACAGCCGAAAACAAATCATTTCATGAACCTGCTTATTTAGATAATTCTGGCAGCCTGGCTTAAACAAATCATTAATTGTCTTTCTGATGTGAACATCTTCGTCAGCAGGGAGAGGGACCCATCCAGTAATATCAGAGCTTGACTGAATCATCAGAGGTGAACAGAGATAGGGAAATAACTCTGTAGGAATTAACATGCCAGGGAATTGCAGCTTCATTGATGTTAACTGTCTGTATAATTCATTATATACCATATATTATTATATTTAGCCTGAAAAGCATAACAATCAAGAGAACGTTGTAATTAGGGCAGAAGGTCTACGTAGTTGAGGTGGGTAGCTGTGTCAGCATGCGTAGGCTGCAAAGGAACAAGTAATAGGTTTATTCCATGCTGAAAAAAAGAAGAAAGAGAACACAATGTTTCGGCCGTGGAGCCTTCTTCAGGTGAGCTACTGTAGGTATGTTGTAATTATTTTGGTAAAACCATATATTGAATTAAACTTGTGCCCTAGTTGTACATAATGTATCTTATGTATTATGAAAAAAAGATTCCTGATAAGGGTAATTCCTAAGAATATTCTTGGTTAATGGAATCAATTAATAAACATTTCAGAACATAGCAAGTGAGGAACTCTTAAACCTACAGCATTTTTGTAAGTAAAGAATGAAGATTTATTATGCCCATTTGTTTCACAGCACTGAAAATGGCACTTCTAAAAGGAAAAACATTTGGTTGCATCAAAATGTTTGAAAATTCACAGATTGGATTTGTTTTCATTCCTTGCTTGATTGCTTCAGATTGCCCAGTACAAACAAAGGGTTATTTTGGTGAGATGGTGCCACAGTGTATAAGTTATCAGCAACGAATCGAGTGTAACACAATACAAAATAATACCCTCCTTGATAACAAAATGTGATGTACAGCCGTTAACAGCATAGGAACAGGCAACTCTATTGAATTCTGAAGAATGGGATACTGAAAGATTAGTAGGGGTTGGAGGATAATTTTCACAGCTTAACAGTATCTTGGCTTTCAAAATAATCCATGTTTGCTTGTTCAGTGTCCAGAGACCTTTATTGTATTTGACCTGATGATCTTTTTTTGTTTGATAATAATCCACATAGGAATTTGAATAAATACTTTCTACAATGAAATTGAAAAGCATAAAACAGAGAAATATTGTATGCATATCAATACCTATAACTAGATACCATCCTTGATTTCAGCTGTCTTAAAGATAATTATAATCAACAAAATGCTTTCATTTAAACCAACATGTAGAAACCACTTAATCTATTAGCTGCACATTATTTTGAGACAAAGTGGTGTTAAACAGATAATCCCAATCTATGAAATAAATTTTCATTTAAATCTTTTAAACATAATCTTTTTTATTTTGAAGTTCAAATTGAATCTTTATTTTTGATCAACTGTTGTCAGCTGTTCCATGTAAAAGAAATGTTTTGAAAAGTGTTTTGCAATGATAGTCATCATTTACCATTAAGTTTTTGAGTGTTTCCTGGAAATTGTGTCTGTATGATGAAGTAAAAAGCTGTTTTTAGAACAATTTTTGAGACTGAGTCAGCCTCTGTGAGGTACTGTAGCACTTAAAGCAAAATAAGATCTAAAAGAATCAGTGAATATGCTTGTTTTGTATGCCCAGGGGTGCTCGAACATATCTGAACTGCATGAAAAACATCGAACTGCTGTCTGATGAATTCTATAGATTTATTTTCTTGTACCTATTTTTGTTGTTCCTTTCTGTTATAACGTAGAAGTTTCAAATGGATTTGGAAGGAATGGTGTAATTAAAATGCAGACACTTTCCTATGATGAGATAGCTTTTGCTTGTACAGGCATTACATACTGTTATTATCCTAGAGACCAGCTTAAAAATATATATATATATAATTGTTGTTTATGTTTACCCTTAGGTTATGTCAAGTCTTGTTTTTAAAATTTATTTACTCACCCTGAAGGTTGAATGCCTTTTTCAAGAATCTTATAAAGCAACTCTCCAGAAATAAATTAACACAAATATTCAGCTGAGATGAAGCTAAATGATTCTTTGTCTCTGGAAAATGACATTGTTTTCACTATCTTTGTATATATCAGTGTCTTTTAAAATGAAAGAAAACAGTGAAAAAAAGGCTAGTATAACAGAATAGAATAGAACAATGTAAATTTCCTTCATTCTTGAAATGAAATTGTGTGAACATTTTGTGCAGATGTGTTCAGTACATAATGCTGATTTCATGATCTGTTTAGTTATTTTTGTCATTTTGCATGCTTTTGTATGATCTTTCATTTTATTCTGCAACAAGCCATTACTGTACCAGGCAAAAAATGTATTTTTTTTTAATCTGTTCTTGGTTAGCTTTTATGAGTGTAAAAGAAATTAGATTTCCCTTTTCTTTGTTATTGCCTCGTTTCTGTTGTGTACCCTAGCAGAGACAATGTCAATAGAGAGAAAAAAGATGTACTGTATAGGACTTCTCAGCAGCTTTAGTGTTAAGGTTGTGACCAAAATACAAAATTCCTTTAAGAGCTGTTAAAAGGTTGTATATAGTTCAATTAAGGCTACAGAGTTTGTGTACAATAGAAAATAAAACTATGGCAGGTTCTTATTTAAAGTACACAGCCCTCCATATTAAACTCAATAGAACGGTTAGACAAATATCCACCTCTTTATTGAAAAGGTATTGAATCTAATTTATTTTTTCTAATGATTATTTTGTAATTATAGTGCATTGTGAATGGTTCTATCATATCTAAACCAATCAAGTTAAACAGCGAAATAATTCAAGCACTCTTCATGTGGTAAAGAATGATGGCAGCAGCACTGAGAATTATTCAAAATGGTCACTATATTAAAACGTTTTAAAATGGTTAAACGATGTACAGTATATCACTTTGCAGTCAGTACCTTAATATGCGTATTGCTGACTGTCAGAGCAAAAGGGCAAGCTGACAAAATGGTGATGACACAGAAAGATTTTTTTTTTTTTTAATGGTGTGACTCACCAGGATTACAGATTTGTTTTATTATGCTGCATTGCTAATATTGAATGTGATTCTGAAAAAAAATACCAATCAAGTGTATTACCTCCACCTCTTCACTGGGGAGAAGCTAGACAGGAAAGAAAATAGATGCATTTACAGAATCTTGATGTTAAAGCAAATTGTATTTCAGCACTGCTCAGTTACTCTTAGTTCCCACTCTGGACCCCAAGATCTGATGGAACACTCTGGAACAGCCCAATTTACTAAATAAAAGTTACTAAATTTACTATTAATAAACTTAATACAAGTTTAGCATTTTTGCCATCACAAAACAGCCTCATCTTCATTTCTAAAAAGTAAAAAAAATATACACTTGTGTTTATTCTTTAAATGGTGGTCTCTTTGAGATAGAGAAAACCTCATTTAGGTTCAGCTCTTTTATTGTGCTTTATTGAAGTGTGTGATCTTGGAGATTGCCTGCTTTTTCTTAGTATTTTAATAAACAGTTTCAAGTCTTTAATATGTTTGAATAAATTTATAAAGATGCGTTGCTTCTTTCTCTTAGCAATCACTTTGTTGTAGATAGACACATATATGCTATATATATTTTTTAATTGTACACCTTTAAAGCTGGCTTTGCATACTGTACCATAATACCATAATATATACATACTGTATAGCTGGTACTAATGAAGACAATAGTGAAGCCAATTTGAGATTTTTGTTATTTGACAGCATGAACTATTGGTTTTGTGCATGTATGAGGACCATTAAAGCACATAGGCCCTACAGCTTATTCTTATAATTGTAAAGACGCATCGAAGAAAGTTACGTTTCGTCCAGAACATATCTTATGAATGAGAATGTTAATAGTTAAGAGTGAATTACAGTCCTTTGTATACTCCAAAAAGTAATTTTTCTTATGTTCTCTGTTTTCTTTCAGGTTTATAATGACATTTATTTCCAGGTGACTGTGGATAATTTGGGTGCTGAAGCAGCACTCAGTGCACTAGTTTGCCACGCAGAGTCTCCAGGGATCCTTCCTGTTCAGTGGTGCCTTAAAAATGGGGTAAACCTCACACATCCAAAAGGTTTGTGTAAAAAAAGTATAACTGTACATTCATCTTCATTTTCCACTTTGGGTTTAGCTGTGCAACACATAGCAAATTACTGTATGATAATGGATGGTTAGCCCACAGTGGACAATTAGACCCGCAGCATATTCAATACTAGAAGTAGCATAAATAATGAATAAATGTGCAAGTCTGAGTCATTTGTTGGCAGCTTTATTAATACTTTTAAGAATAGATTTTCATTTTCGGCATGTCATGTTTCTAATAACATGTTTAAATAAACAGTCCTTGTATTGCAGCTCTCAAGAACAATAATTATTGTTTCTATTAGGAGGGAAATCCTCTTTCCAGAATATTGGAGTCATTTTCTTTTGTTTTATTAATACCATACAGGGTACCTCAACCAAGATTTTGACTGGGCAGATTATCTGAAGCAGTGTGGTACAGAGGCTGCTCCTGATCTTTGTTTTAGAAATGTAAGTTTTTTCGTGTGTATTTTTCTTGTTGTTGCTACAGTATTTTGGTAAACTATGAACTTGAGCTGTGCAGGTCCTTTCTGAAAATGCTTAATGCTGAAGCCAAATGAAAAGCCAAACCCGTCAAAGTTGGCCACCCTGTGGCGAGTGCCTGTTCCACTCATGGTGAACATGTCCCTTTCAGATCATGAATAGAACAGTCAGCTGTGCTTGTTGCTTGTCTATTCATTAACTTAAAACAGTCTGCATTAAAGCAGAAAAATATACGTTCAGAATTATGATGCCAAATTATATACAGCGTCCTTAATATGTAGATTTGAGTAAAATAAGTGCTAATTTCGTTATCTGTTGTTTCTGTTATGTTCAGCTTAAACTACTGAGGACTGAGCACTTCTTTTGCAACCCTTTCTTTTTTTATCCTAGAACTGTAAAACTAATAGCAGAAATTGGTTTATTTGTCTCCAGTGAGCAATGTTATATCAAAAGTGACTTAAAACTGTTGTGGTTTTTGTTGTTAAGATTTTGAGATTGCAGAAATATGTTTTATGTATCTTTTTTAATCTTTAGAAAATTAAATGAAAAACAGTGGAATTTGAAACTGTTCTAAAAACGTACATAGTTCCCCTTAACAAAATTGAAAGTGAATATAACATTTCTTATTCCATTACAAGAAGGTGTAGTATTATCTACTGGAGCCCTACAGTCTTTACTTCTGCTACTGACAATTGTAAGGGTTTTGATCACAGTAGCTACAGTACATCAGTTATTCAGGCATGACTACTTTTTTATTTTCTCGCAAACTTATAGTATATATGGAATGTAAATATTTTAAAGAAACATCTACTTTTTGCATTAAGTATACTGGGGCCATGTTATGAAATTAAATATTCCAAATATAAAATGAAAATAAAAAGAAAAATATATATTTGAAAACCGTCTGATTTATTATTTCCTTTTTTACAAAGATGCTGTACCAGATGTGCTCCAACAATTACTCAGGCACAAACAGAAAAACGAGTGCATCAGACACTGTACAGCTAAATAAAGACAGTATCTGCAGTAACTCAGAAAAACAGAATGAGGGAGAGGTTTTTCAGTTAGCTGTGTTGCTAGGGAGCAGTCCTTCATCAGCACTGTTAAACATTAAGATAACATTAGCTTTTGTGAGACAAAAATAAAATGCCTCCAGGGGTCAGAATTCTTTTTCTGCAGCAACGTTCGATCAGATGGGTCCAAATTACCTTGATTGCGAGAATGATGACGTGGCAGAAACTAATAAAGGAGGACTGTTTGTTTGCCTGGCAAGAAACTTGGGCGCATCAGTCTTGATGTTTATATTGTACAGTAGGTGCAACTTGAGGTGCTGACAAACAAGCTAACAGAAAGCATCATGAATGGGGGAATGCACAGGTGTCAGTTGAGAAGTGAAATTATAAGGGGGAATGTTTCTATTCCACAAACATCAGATTCCAAATGTCAGTTCCGATTGGGTCGTTAAATGTTTGAGTACATCTGCTATCCAGTACGTTCTTTGCCAAAAAAAACTCTTGCGGAGGATTTTCTGTATTATTAATTTACAACGTGTCTGAATGTATGATATAAAAACACGGCTTTTACAATATAGAAGAAATTAAGAATCAAATGATTGCCTGAATCGTTGTACAAACAATCATTGATTGAAATAAATGAGGCAAATGCCGAGAATTTCTGTTTGAACATTGATCGTTTATAGATTCACCCTCAGGTACAAGAGGCAAAATCATTAATGGCTCAGGCAAGAGGCTGCTGTGCATTACAGTACAGCTTTTGTATCTGAAGGAGCATGTAATTGTTCTCATTTTTTTCAGATGAGTTTTCACTAGTGGATAGTTTCACTTCAAGATTTTTTGAGTCATGTCCTAATATAACTGTATGTAAAAAGACATATTGTAAAGTTTAACAGATTGTATTCTAATTTTGAGAGATGGACTATTTTTCTTTTAGAGTTGGCAGGTTAAGTACTTGCATTATATATCAGAAAAGGCTTTGCTATTAAACTCCTTAACAACATCAATAGTTTTTTTTTCTTATAATCTGTAAATGTATGTTTTTATAGATTGTGATTCTGGTAATATTTTCTTTTGTACATTTTCTGTCCTCAACATTTTCTGACATGATTTACTTTTAACTAGTTTTGCTTAAGAAATTGTATAGAAAAATAACAGTACGAAGATAAGAAGATCAGCTGCTTTACTCTTTTTACTTGCATTTAACATACTTTCATGCAAGAACTATATAATGCACTTTTATAATGTTTACTTGTTTACTTCCCAGAAACTGACTAATTGAGTTTTTTTCAGTGTGATTGCTGTATATTGCAAAATATCAATCTAAAAGATTTAGTAACTCATTTCATCTAACAGGTTTATGTTGAAAATGGGCTGACACTGAACAGTATGGTACAAACAGTTGGCAAAAGGTGTCAGAATGTCCAAAAGTTATTTGACTATTATTTAATTGCTTTCAATAATCACATTACCCAGTCGGACATTTCTGTTTTAAATAAAAAAATGTAAAAACAAATTCTTGAGAACTGAGGTCTTTCTTTTTCTTTTGCAGACATCAGTTAGTCGAGGTTTCACCAAAAACATGAAGCTTGAGGCTGTTAACCCCATGAAGCCTTCTGAAATCTGTGTTGCATCAATCACCAAAGTGAAAGGCAGATTAATGTGGCTACATGTAGAAGGTGAGTTCTCTCAGCCATCCACCATGAAAGAGTCTATTAACATCTGAAATATTATTAATGCATTTTAAAAATAATCCTTTAATACCTGAGCAGAAAAAAATGTAATTCATAATGCGAATCTCCTATTATTATTATTATTATTATTATTATTATGGAGCAGAAGATGAAGAATGAGCTCACTATAATTTGAACAAATCTGAATATTTTCTTCTTTCAACAAGTCTTCTTTCATATCATGTAAATACATATGTTGTGAAGTCTCCCCTTAGTTAAACAAAAACATAAAAAGTAAACTATGGTCATACTGTAGCCCCTGGCCATAAACTGTAAAACACTGCTGTCTTTTTAACCTTACATTGGATTTTTCTTATAGCTTCTTCACATAAAAGGGTCCTGCAAGCTACAGATTTGATCAAATCAAACTAGTGATCTACATTCAGTAGCTTTTTCTTAGGTATCAATGTACAAGTTGCTGTTAAAAGGCAGTTTTAGTATCTTGGTTTAAGATTTGTTTAGTTTTTATGTTTATGTGTTTATGTGTTTATCCATGGTTCTTAAGAAGAGAACCCCTTCTTCTCCGCTGATTCTATTATTCAGTGATTCCTTTTGGTCTGTTTGCGAGAATGAATGAATGGCTGGCATTACCTCTGCCAAAAAAATCTGGACGCTGGGAATATAAAATCTCTGCATTTGTCCAAAACGTCAATGGGCTCTTTCCTTTCTTGACATTGAGGTGCTGGAGATTCACTGCCTGGGTCCAGGGGGTCTGGGAGAGGACTGCAGTCCTGGGAAATAGCTGCTGACACTATTAAAGTACTATTTAAGTCATCATCATCTTCCACTCTTTGATGTACAGCGTGGTGAAAAGCATGTACAACCCCTTAAGATTTTATGGTTTAAAATCTTCATGTTCACCAGATTTGACCTAGTCATAATGGTGGATGAAAATAATTTGACAAATAACACAAAAAATTCAACTTCTGTCTTTTAAAAAAAAATAATGCAATAACTTTTTGTGGAAAAGTCAGTGCGTCCTCAGTTCTACCATCTCAATTAAAAGGATATGTAGAATCAGATGCTCCAAAAGATGCAAATTATTAGTGAATCATGAGGAAGGGCTTCCACCCTGCTATAAAAGCAGGTACTTAGTTTTTCTCCACACTGTAGACTGTCAGGACTCCTCTGTGGGATGGGGTGGGAGGAGATTTGAGAGAAACTGTCATTGTTGTATTATAGTAGTTCAGGTGGGTATCTACGTCAGTGTAACGAACAGTTCTTTCCGGACCCTATGCGGATGACACAATCCGACGGAGTGGGGAAACACTAGGGAAACGTCATGCAGGAATACGGGGCAAAAGACAGGGGGGCGTGTCCACGGTGCGCTGGTGCACGGGGGAGGTGTGGCCGAGGCGAACAATCCGAGAGAGTAGTCCTTAGGGAATATCCAAAACACACGAGAAAGTCCAAAACCAGAAGATCCATCAGAACAAGTTAAAAACCACGAAGGCCGGGTCGGAACCGGCGGACGGGGAACAGGAACGGGAACCGAGGTTAAAACCTTAACGGGACCAGGCGCTTCCAGGTCCCGGACTCGCACGATATGGAATTCAGATGCAGAGCGCGGAAGAGCGTCAGCGCCTGGTTTTTAAGGTGGGCTGGGAATAGGGAGCAGGTGCACAGAATAAAGTCTTTAGTGAAAAGGCTGGAGCACCCTTAAGGAGGGGGAACTAATATCGTGACAGTCAGCATGCGTAGGCTGCAAAGGAACAAGTAATAGGTTTATTCCATGCTGAAAAGAGAAGAAAGAAAACACAACGTTTCGGCTGTGGAGCCTTGTGTTAGTCCTCTTATTACTGGTGTGAGGTTTTCATCTAATTCCGTAAACAACAGAATGGTGCCTTTTCAGACTAATCAAAATAATTGATGCCATTGGTACTACAGAACAGATTTGATTTTCTGAGTTAAAGACAAACTCAAAATTGAGTTAATTTTTTTCATGTTTGTTTTGAATTATGGTTTTATTTTTACCTGTCATTTTAAATAGGCAATAAGATGTATAAATAGTTCCCAGAGTAATCTTTTGTTTTCCCCATGAAGGGTATTATTTCTTAATTTGTTTTGTGTGGAAGTATAGAAATGTCAAAGCTATTTAATGTCAGAAGTCTTCTCCTGCCTTTCTCAGTTTCAGATGCCTGTGTGTTATTTTTGAACATTATTATATGATATAAATGGCAAAGTGGTTTCATGACATTGTTGATTTTATTTAGCATTCAAATTAACATTAAGATAGACTTACATTTTCATGCTGCTTCATGATCTCTTTCAGGGTCTAGGTCTCACAAAATGGGATCAACAGTGCAGTCGTGGTCAACCTTGACTAATGCCAAAAATAAATCGAAACTTGTATCTACCAGCGAATTACAAATTACAAAACAGATGCCTGATGACAGCTTTTCGCTGGTTAGAAGGAAGTCCCTGACTAGAAAAGAAATAATAGTTTTGATTTAGTGTAACCTAAGTTATGTTTGATAACCTTACAAAGGAATAGCAGATTCTCCCTTGTGATAACCAACTGTTATATATAACGGTCCTCAGAAATGCCCTTTTTAAAAATGATTTTAAACTCATCTTAAATCTTAAATCGTGATCATCTAAAATCATCTTAAATAATTTGGGAAGTCTAACATGTAAATAAGAGTATTTGAGATTGGTTGGTGTTTGTAAACCCTTAAAGTCTCTGTTGTTTGTTCATCCATGTTTGATAAGCTTACAAAGGAATAGCAGATCCTCCCTTGTGGTTACCAACTGTTATATATATTTTGTGGTGTCAAAGACTGAAAGTGGGCCATTTGAGCTGGTGTACTTTTGTAGATGGTGGGTATGAGTGATGACATCCCTTCCTTCATGTACTAAAGAACTGCTTCTGCAACAGGACAGCTTTCATTTTAAGCACATTATTCTACACATTAAAAAGTAAATAGCCCGTAAAATTCAGTCTTACATTTTATTTTGCTTCACTTCAGCCCTAAAGAGTTCATGTATACTGTAGATATTCATATAATTTTAAATATTAATAATGAAATACTAAAAGTTATTTGTTACTTACCAGGATCCCTAAATTATTAAATATGATTTGATCATTTTCGTTGGGAAAAAATGCATTCTGAAGGGCAATTTTAAAGGATTTATAAAGGTAAACATGTGCCTGTCATTTCAGAGGCCTCCTGACATCTAACGTGTATGCAACTAATCAAATTACACAGCCATTCAGAATAATGTATGTGCTTGGAAATGAAGCAACACACTGCAACATTGTAATAAATGTACAGCTTCCTAGCTGAACTGCTAGGAAGGAATTGTTTGCTTCATTTATCCAATATTTGACATGATTTGGTCCTTCCAGAAAGAGTAGGTGACTGTAGATTCAGAAATGATAGGTGCGTATTAACATTTAGAAATCATTTAAAGTGGTCCTCTGAAATGCCCTTTTTTAAAACAATTTAAAAATCATCTTAAATAATTTGGGAATTCTAACATATAAATAAGAGTATTTGAGATTGGTTGATGTTTGTAAACCCTTTAAGTCTCTGTTGTTTGTGTATCCATCCTCCTGTTATTTCACAGCTAGGCCGGTTTCAAGGCATGTGCTTTTTAGATTTTTTTTTTGTTTCCTGGAACTATCCAGTTTCCCTTAATTACCTCAGACCATGTGACAATGTGACTTGTGAACTTTGCTCAAGGGGTTGTGTTGCTGGTGAAAGACTAGAATCTGAAAGAAAAAAAGCTTCAGTGTCACACTGCCTGATGAAAGTCAACACTCTGTGATGGCAGTATTGTGTTTCCTTATAGCCCTTCGACACAAAAAGCCAGGCATCCAGTTCCACATTTTACTGAAATCACTACAGTTTGGCCAAGACTTGGATGGTATTCAGTAGGAACAATAGACCTTCTCTACTTTTTCCATGCTTGGGTTTTTGTGCATGAATCCCAGCAATTCTCTTCTTAATGTCAATTTGTGAGAATTCATGCAAAAGTGCTTTCAGATTTCTCATTTTGAAACCCGTTTTACACTGGGTATGGTTAGAATTTCCCTCCATGATCTAGTGCTGCACAGAAACGAGAACGTGTAAGTGCTGTAAGTGTATCAAAGGTCGTTGGTACACAATGACAACACAGAAGAAAGGAAGCCAGAGCATGACAATCTGTTCCTTTGCAGAGCACTTTTTTGTTGTTCTGTAAAGTGAAGTTCAGTGGCACTATAACACCATAGCAATTTTATGTTATGTTTCTATATCTAGAAATATTTGTGAACTACAGAAGTGTGCCTAGACCTGGTTTCTTTAAAATATAGTTCTGTAACGAAATCCTGTAGCTTCTGCACCTTAAGCATAAAAAGATGTAATGTATCCCTGATGTGTTGGTGTTTGATTATCTGAGTGGAGTTTCTGTCTCAGAAGATCAGATTGTATGCAACACAGAACTGCTGCTTAACGTGTTCAACCTTTGACATGATTCTTGCTTAGGAAGGATGTTTGAGGTTACTTTTGTAAATGACAGGTAAGCGGGGATAGAATAACCTCAGTTGTGAGTTCAGTGTGACTTAGCAGCTCAGAGAGAGCAGGAAATGTGAGGAAAGCCAAAAGAGGACGGGTGGTTTTGTCAAACGAAATCAATACCATTCGATAAAAGTCATCCTTCATCAGTTGTGTAAGAACATGCTTACAGTTCAAGAACCTTATCTCAGCTACAGTATATGGTGCATGCTGAGACTAATGTATTTCTTGGAGCACTTGTGAAAAAAAGTAAATCACTGTCTTATCACTAATGTCTATACTGTTTGCAGATTTGTCATTAAAAGACGGGCAGTTCTCTAGGTTTAGCTTTCTATAGCTTTGCATATTTATGTGCCAGTACCTTGGAAAAGTAGGTCACAGTGACCTGTATTTGTATCCTATTGGTTACCACAGCCTTTTCTAAAGTTGAGTGCAGAATGTCAGTAAAAGCATCTCATAAAGTAGCCTTGATTCATTTAAGAACACACTGACTCTCTGAATGTAGTTTATTTTTTCACTTTTGTTGATTTAATGGATTTCTTTGTATTTACTCAAGTTGTTTTAATTATTAGCTGTTTGCACTTAATCTAAATGCGTTTTATTAATTAAAGACTAGGGAAAAACCCTTGCACAAGGATTTGGTATATCAGAAATAAACAGTAGGTGCTCATGTGCTTAACCTGTACCGTAACTATAGTCCTCCAATATATCATGGTCAATATTTTAATAAAAAAAAAGAAAGGCTACAAAAACACCTGGGGCCTATGTTTTTTAACAAGTCTGTAAATCATTCCTACTGCTGTCATGAATATGAGTGTGTCTTTTATTAGGAAGAAACAGCTTAGAGAATGTTCTGGGTTGATGGCCAGAAAGGTGTGTGTTGGTTCTCTGCATGTGCAGTCAAATAAAGTTCTTAAAAAGCTGCATTTTTTATAATGATAATTGTACTTGTGCCACGTGGATTTCTTATGACAAAAGTGAAAATGGTATTAAATGCCAGGATATAGGCACCAGAGCCATTACGTGACCTATTTTCTGTACTATGAATGTGTCATTTTTATTTGATGTTTCTTTTTCCCTGGTAAGCAAAATTTCAGAATCTCAAGCACAGTACATTCTTTGTTAAACATACAGTGTGCTCACACTGAAAGTAATTGAAAAATGGCATCAGTAAATCCTTGCAGTGAAAGTCTCCATTTTTCTTTTTCCTTTTAGGATTTATTACTCAATATTGTGGTTGTAGAACATGGAAAAGGATTAAATTGGCTGTTGTGAAGATATTATAGGTCAAACGTAGGGAGGATATAAGCATTAAAGAGATGCATTACTATTTCATATTACAAGATTAAATCCCGTGGAAGTGTCATTTAAATGTCATAAAGATATCTTTATCCTTTTTTTTATTTTGAAATGTCTTGTAGGCTTAAAGAAGCCCCTCCCGGAATATATTGTTGATGTGGAGTCCATGGACATTTTCCCAGTTGGATGGTGTGAAGCCAATGGCTACCAGCTCACACCCCCTCACAGACCTGTCTGTATGTATTGACTTAGCCTCCTTTCAAATAAACTGAACCTTAACACCACACAGATGTTAAGGTGAGTGTAGTGTGATGGTATTAGCAGGCTGGTTGGGCAGGCGTTGCAGATACAAAAAATTAATTATCTTTGGAAGGAGTGGATTCATGTTCTGCTCTTTAACATAATAAACACATCGTTCTGAAATACCAGCTCAATTACTTCCACTCTCCACACTTTGCAAGCATGTACAGTATGATAGGATGTGATTTACCCATAGTAGTCACATTGTTATTTATGTTCATAAACGATGAGAAAGTTATTATTCAGATCATAAACTTAATAAACCTTCATCACCTTTCCAGTAATACCGCTAGTATATTAACTGCAATGAATGTTTTTCCATTTTCAACATTTTTCTGTACATACATGCAAGGTTAGATCTACACCATAAAGCTATGCAGTCGGAAAGTGTTTTTATTTTCCATTGCTGTTTTTCTTTATAAGATACTGTAGGAACAATAATCCCAATGAGGATCTAGGGGTGATATTTTTCTTGCAAAGACATTATGTTTATGTAAAATACTTTGTTGATATGGAGCAAAGCTGATTGAAAAAGACTTTATATTAAGAGAATTAACAGGGTCATAGAATCATGAGCTATTCCATGTTTATTATCCATTTAATTTCTGAAAGTTGTAGTTTAAGATGAAAAACAGGTCCTTGAACTGAGCAATTTTGTTCAGATTTTTTGTAGGCTTTAGAAAGCGTAGATCCGGTGTTTAATTTATGTCTCATACTGTTTATAGAGGAATTGAACCGATTCTAGATTATTGATTGGCTTTCTATGATAAGTGCATGTGACTAAGTAATCATGGCCAGTGATCTGGCAGTAAACACTGTTACTGTAGAGGCTGAGATGAGCTGTTTGTATTCACATAATATAACTGTTAATGCTTGCCTGCAGGAAGTTATGTTTGCTGGATGTCACAGATTTTGCAGGATAAGTAATAATAGAAAACTAAATTATTAATATATTATGTTGTATGTGTAATAACTCAGCTTTAAATGTACAATTTGCAGGTTCAACAATTGTAATTTAAAACATGCAGGTGAAAACCTACCACAGCGGACATTTGCATTTAAAGAAGACATTCTGCAGGAAGCAACCTTCCAGTATTTCAGTTTTTTAATTACTTGTCCAAAGAATCATTTCACAAAAACAACGCAACTTACTGTAAACATGACTGCAAAAACAAAAAATTATACACTTTCTTCTTCAGTAGAAACATGAAATGATGCACTTTCGCCAATATATTACACACCAGGGACCAAAAACAAATGTCATCTATGGCTCTTGTTTGTACCAGGCACTTGAGGTCATTGGAAATGGATGAGCCAGAGGCTTTCAGTATCATGAAACATATTTTCCTTGTTAAGCATACACACTGTTTTGTTTTCATATAGCGCAACACAAAACTAGTGAAATTATCAAAGCATTACTCTTCATATAAAACAAAAAAAATCCAACACTTCTCCATCACTGGTCGACAGCACTAAGCAGGGAAAAAATGTCAAGCAGAATTCCTCCAGCAACTTTGGTGGGAGGCAGGTACTGACTGTAATGGAGTAATTGATAATGACACTGCTGTGCAACAGCCTTGCAAGCATTATGTAAAGTTACATTTTAAATTAAGTGTGAAGTGTTGTTTGATGCTAAGGTGTGAAAGCAAGACTTGCCTTTCTCACAAAATAAATTTTTGTTTGGAAAGAAAGGCATTCCATATAAAATGCCAGGCTAGTAAATACATAAGTGTGTGATACAAGGCTCGATGACAGGTGGGATTTTGGAGGAAGCCTGCAGTGAAATGTGGAGGAGGTAGAGTGATATTTTTAACGCTGCAGGGGGAGACCAAGTGTAGTCAGACTTTGTCATTTAAAAAACCACAGTCAATTAATATTTTCCATATGAATTATGTTTCTAGTTTATATAAATAATGAATGTAGATGCAGGGCTGAAAGCAGGGGTATGTACTGTATAACACACTAACTGATGTGCTTACTAAAGTTACAAGGAAAAATAAAAGTCTGAATACTGTAATTTTTCTTTATGTAATCTCTGATTTAAGGTTTTGGTCCTACAACTGAAACTAGTTGTCATAATTAAGTGTATCCCACAGACATGTTTAACTGCATTTTTATTTGCTTTTTTGTCAGGCTTTTAGTCATTTGGCATAAATTACATTGACTGTCTTCACTGAAATACATAAATACAGACTAAAATGTTAGTTCTTTAACATTACTGTGCCTTAGGGGAGTCATATTATGGCAGTGTATCACAATATTGGCCACCTTGTGTTATTAGAAGCGTAGCATAAAATATCACAAATACACTGAAGATGCTGTGTATGAATATCTGTTTTTAAATACTTTATACAGTATATTCAATAACAAGTGCTTACTGCTTTTATCATTATGATTATTATTTTATTATGTGAATATTACATAATTATCTTAAAACGTATAAAAACATACATGATAAGATAAAAAAACTTTATAATTGTATATAATTTAAATGTGTTCACATATTGCTAAAATATAATATTTTATAGAAATCACAGAAAATTATGAAAACCAAAATAAATTCATTACTTAATGGAAATTAACATTATTGTTCAGTGGCAATAGAGTTCATTGCTGAAATGCTTTAAAAGTTTTTCCTCTTCAACTCATTCACTTGGAATTTAACCTACTTTACAGGTAACATTCTTAGCACTTTGAAGTATGAAGCCTTAATTGTACTGACTAAACAAGAGGTTATTGAAGAATATTGCTTTCAAGGCTGGTATTGATCTAGGGAAGCAAAGTCTGGGATCATTAAACTACACAGTTTTATGATATTCTACAGAAAATGTGTTGGATATTTTTGCTAGTACTGTATTTGAGAAATAGTTTCAATAGTTCAGAATTAAATTTGCTTTGAATATTTATAGTTTGGCATTTGTAATTATAATCTCTTGTGAAAGGAGGAACATTGCACAATTTAGACTGAGGTACAATGTTAACATTGCACAAGAAAGTTCTATTTCATTTTGAATGTTTTTGTCTTTATAACATGTCATAATGTATTTACTACTGTATGTGGTGAGATATTTTTTGGTCTTGTCTAGACCATTATTTGTAGGGTAAATACAGATTAATATAACATAATACAAATGAAAGTCCTCACTGTTTGATCGCTGTTTGATTGTACAGTAATACCCCATCATCCTCTTTGTTTTTTTAAATGGTCAGGAATTTTTTTTCCCCATTTAATTAATTGGAAGTCAATACCCAGCCCAGAGGATTCCTTTGGGAATCACAGAGCACACCTAAGCTCATATTAATTAAATAATCTTCTTTTTTTTCAGCATGCTTTAATTGAAAAATGCGTGTGGGAGTTGTTGTGAAACAGACAACATCAGCAAAGACTTTCTCAAGTATTTCTAATGCATTCACAAGATGTATTTAGGAGAACAGCATACTGTATGTAGGAGGCCCCAGTAGCTTGTACTTCATTTTAATTGCATATTCACAAATTAACATTTAGACCTCTGGTGGATGAAAAAAAATCTTTGTAATAAAATTAGAAAAAAAAACAGGTTATAAAATTGGAATCGTGTATGTTTTCTCTCTCTGTTTTACCATTGTGCTCAGTGGTTTTTAGGTTACTACGGGAAGATTTTGATTGTGAATTCTTGGTGTGCTGTGTCTTTCAGGTCAGAAACAGAAGAAGATTGCTGTGGTGCAGCCAGAAAAACAGTAGGTTTACTGTTTGATTTAGAGTTTCCTTCCTTCCCCGCTCTAGATAAGTAGGCAAACCAGATGATTATTATAGTAGGGCTCCTCTTTGACAAACAAAACTCTCAAGGCGCAGGGCTGATGAAGTGCCACTCCATTACAGCAAGGCACTTTATTTTCAAAAAGAACAGATAGAAAAACAAAACAGGTTCTTCACAAACAAGATGAAGTGAGTTTCTGCTGAAGCCCCAAATCTTGTCATTGAAAATGTTTCCTGTGGGGATAATGCTGGTTTCCTTTAGTACTGAAACCATATTATCAGTAAGATAGAAAAAACAGGTCACTGCTGATTAATGATGAGTTTCATGAGTCTTCAAACCTTAAAGGAGCATTTTTTTAATAATCAATTAATTTATGTGGATTGTGTCATGTAAATTATTCAAATAATCATTTTGAGAGTAAACCTTTATCAGTATTTCAGAAGTATTTCTTTGTTGTTTGTTTGTCTGAACCCTCTGTGTTCTTTTCACAGACAACTTACCTCTGAGTCTCTGGAGAATTTACCTCATAATCTCTGTCCCAGTGCTACGCTGGATGCTGGTAAAGTGAACTTTGCATGTTGTCTGTTAAAACAAGCATTACATACAGTACATATATTTTCCGACAGGTTAATGTATTTGCAAAGTTAAAGAACTAAAGGAATTAACATTTTATTGGTTTTCAAATGGAACAAGATACTTAACCTCCACCAGAAGAAAGGGAAAAAGATTAAGCTTTTTGACACACTCTTTTTACTTGTCAAAACTTACTAAAAATGTGTTCTCTTGGTTCCCTAATGCACCCTTCAGTTATGAGTTACTGTGGAAAATTACACAACCAAAGCCTTGTAGGGAAAAATATGAAAAGGCATTTTTATTTCTAAAATATCTCAATAACTATACTTTTATCTGTAAATCTTTTTTTACATTTTTGTTTTGGAGAACAGCATTTCTAGTATTCAAATAAATATTGTAAAAAGAAGCAGTTTAGTTAAACAACCTGTGCATGAACAGTATTAGGTGCAACACAAGGACATGGCAGATAGCACTGTTGCCTCACACTGTCAGGGCCCTGGGCTGGACTTCCAGTCTTGGGTGTCTATCTGTGTGGAGTTTGCATGTTCTTCTTGTGTGAGTTTCCTCCTGGAAGTCTGGTTTCCTCCCACAGGCCACAGTCATGCAGGTTCTAAATTCTTGCCTTCTCTGCCTTCTCTGGGAGTAGCTCTGCCATGAACAGTGACACCTTTTGCACGGAACAAGCATGATTTGTTTTTTAAGTTATTTTTCTAAAAATGCCAGTTTAAAACTAAATAAACTTGGAATATGATTTTTATATTAGAAAATGTGAATAAAAGTATATCCGAAATCCATCTCCCAAAAATATGACGGCAATCTCTTAGTCTGTTTGCACACGAGTTTCTCAGATTTCTGGGGAAAGCAGCTAGATTTCCCATTTTAAGTAATTAGAATAATTAAAGCTGAAAATGAGAGTGTATTTTCCAAAGGATGTGAGGAAGCAAAAAAGTCTTTGTTTTAACCTTTATGTTTTGCCAAGGGAGGGAACTGTAATAATCATTGTTTTTTTTACAGGTGCCACAAATGGGAAATACTGCTGTTCCCAGATTTTTGTCAACCATCGGTGTTTCTCAGGTCCCTATTTAAACAAAGGGAGGATAGCAGAACTGCCTCAGTCTGTAGGGCCTGGGAAGTGTACTTTAGTTCTAAAAGAGGTAAGCGTCTGGAACAGCAAAGCTAAAGTGATATGCAGAATTAAATCTGTTTCTGTAGTTCAGGTAGATCATAATGAACACGAGAGAGAGCCAAAACTAACATATTTGGAGTGATTCCCCTAACTGAGGGAATGGCAGCCTATCCAAGTCTGGTCAGGCTGTCCTATCCCCCCTCACTATTGGAAGAGGCAAGCTAGGGAGGTGTTTCAAGGATGTAGTCATACACAAAGGGAGGATCTAATTGCTAGATTTATAGATGTAGGCAAATAGAAGTGTATGAGATTAGGATCTAACCTTCCTCCCAAACTTCAGTTATAAACTCCATATACCATTGGCATTTTAGCACTGCATTCATTGGTCAGGCATGAATTCAAGTATTTCCTATGCATTAGTCACAGAGACTAAATACAGGCTCACAAAAACGTCCTGTGAATGCAGGCTTAAATATTAAAAAAAAAAACGTGTGAACTCATCCCATTTATAAGAGGGTTATTGGCAATCTCATCTTCATTAATATCAATAATCTTACAATTTGTGGCACACTTTTACAATTAATTGCAACTTAGGTACACAATGTGTTACTGCTGCCACTGAAAGCCATAGACCAGACATTCTCAGGTGCGGTCCTGGATGGTCAAAGTCTAGCATGTCTTAAAATAATTTGTACAATTCACAGCTGAGCTGCAATGAAAACCTAAAGACACAGTATCTTCCCCAGACTGGATGTGGTCATGATGTTTTAATGTCTTTATGAACTAATTTGCTAGAAATCTTCACAAAGCTAAGAATTGTGGAATGCCTCCCTTATACATGTATAAACCCACTCATATCAATATGAGATACATCATTATCTTATATATATATACAGTATGAGGAAAACATTTATGTATATGTGTGAGCAGATACAAAAATAGAGAAACAAATATGATAATATTTTCATTAGGAATTGGATTCATTACATATTAATAACATTCAGCAAAAGTAGTATTGTCTCTTGTGACAGTATTATGTATGACGAAAAGTAGCTGGACTTAGTTCAGTAAGAGCCTAAGGCCAATACTTTAGTTTAGACCTCTTATCAGTGCAATCTACAAACATTCAAATTCCGTCAGTTTTTCCAGTTGCATATCATAATGCAGAAATGCTTAGAGTTCATGTTTTTTGTGAAGTCCAAAGAAAAATTAAGGCTTGTCTTTTTTCAGTTCTTAGAATGGCATTTTGTGTTTATATTATATATTTTGCTGGAAATAAAATGTGACTATTGTAATTGTATGTTTTTGATCAATATGGAGATTGTTATATCATACATGGACACAAGTACTCTCACAGTTAGCCTAGATCTACAATCATACAATTCATAAATAATCATTGGCACACAGCTATATTATCCAACCAATTATTCTATTGCAAACTTAGCTTTTAACTCCAGTAACAATTTGAAGCTAATGGAATAGTGCTTTATCGGCTCCTCCAGTGACCTGACCTGAATTATGCTGATTTTTGTGTGGTTGTATAGTTGTATAGTTGTAGGAAGCTTGTTGTTGTCAGGAGTAGCAACAGCTTTTGTAGTTGCTTGCTTTGTGAAACGAGAAATACTCACAAGCCAAATGTCGGCAAATGTTTGAGGTGTTGCATTTGTTTCAGTTATACAGAGACAATGTTGTGTTCTAGGTGCTCGGAATGCTAATCAACGCAGCCTATAAACCAGGACGGGTTCTGAGAGAACTTCAACTTGTGGAAGACCCACAGTGGAATTTTCAAGAAGAAACATTAAAAGCCAAGTAGGACTTTATCTACAGAACACAAAACAGAACTCTAAGTTCCTTGTTGTTGGTTTTTTTTGGAATGAATGGCAGGGTTTCTTGAATATTGTTCTCCACAATCTCACACTATGCTGTAACAGCCAAGAAACCTGCTTTTACTTTGCATGTGTTCAAGATTATTGTGTGAAATCAATGTAATACATTTATATGCAGTTAATGCTCAATTTGTACGCATTTAAGACAAAAATAGAGTACATTCTTTGAAACAGATACATTTTCAGAGAGAAGGTCAAATGTTTCTTTGCTACAAGAGTACTGTGTTGAATTGTATATCTCCCTTTCTTTCTATGTAATATACAGTATGTGCCATTGTTCTGTTGGAATGAATATTAACTATTTAAATAATGTTTTAAAACCCTTCTTTTTTAACTTAAAGAACCCTAAATACTAAAATTTTAAAAGTCTTGATATTAATGGGGAAGAAACAATGTAAAAATCAAGGGATATTTCTGAAATTCATATATACAAAAAAACATACATCTAAAAAGTATTAAAACCTTAGAACTCTCAACGTGGCTTTTGCACAAACACTTAAAAATGACTGTCAAATTGGAAATCATTTGTTTTTGGAATGTAACCAAATAGTTTAGTGGTGTAGAGCTAATTTAAAACAGTATTTTGAGTCTTATTGTGAAAGTGTTTTGAAAATGTCTTGCTTGCCTTTCCTTAGATACAAAGGAAAGACGTACAGATCAACTATCAAGATAGTGCGAACCTCAGACCAAGTCTCAGACTTTTGTCGAAAGGTTTGCCTTAAGCTTCAGTGCTGTCCCAATTTGTTCAGCCCTGCTTTGGTTACAGACAAGTGCCCCGAGAACTGCTCTGTTCACACCAAAACTAAGTATAGTGAGTATGGCCCCACAGGCCTTGGTTTTTTTTCTTCCTATGAGGTACTTCACCTGAAAAGATTTCGTTCTGTTTTTGTGTTTACATTCCAGAAAGCATATGTTTGTCACACAGCATGAATTATTCTAAAGTTCCGCATTTTTATACTGTGATGTTGCAGAAACATTTTATTTTTGTTTAAGAAGAAACCTCCCAATGATAAAAGTACCTTCATAGTCTATCTAATGAATAGACTTTAAGTGCATGCATGCCTTTTTGCTTATCTATTTATATTTTTATTGAAATTTCATTCACTTGCTCAATGACAGTTATGTCTTTAGATTAGAGATCGGCATGAATAAAGCTCCACTTTGTTACTGAATGATAACAAATTAAGTAAATACACTTGAAAAAAGATGAGCTTTCAAAGATGGTTCATATTACAGATATGTGGTTCTGCTTTATGTTTACAAATACCATTCAGAGTTTGTTCTTTTAACGTCAGACCTTGTAATTACATTTTATTTACCTAAGTATCTTAGCTCTTATTCATTAATGAATTGATTCCCCAAACTAGCAAAGTTCAGGACCTACGGTATACAATACAGACCTTCAAACACATGGAAGCTTTCTAACCAAATAAATTCTTCTCAATCTAAAAATAAAATTACTTTAACAAATTAAATCTATAGGAACTGTAGTCATAATTGTGAATTCTCAGTATATAACTATAGATTGCACTGGCAAAATACTGTAAACATTGATTCATATTCTGTTATTCTGCATTTTCTTTGTTCAGATCGCGAACATTTATTTTTATGTATTTGGTCTTTGTATACACATACTGAAGGCGTAGAGTATGAGTACATTTAAATTGTAAAATTTTAAAATGTGCCCTGGATGGGAATTAAGGTCTTAGCTCTTTTCATTAGTATAATAATTATACTAAGTATAATTATTTTGGATTTAGATCATATAAAATGCATGAAGTGAAATTTAATAATACTTCTTTCAATATTATGGTAATTATAAACAATTTTGGTAAACTTTCATTTGATCTCAAGACAGTATGAGACGTCAGATAGGAAAAAAAATACTGATGATGATGAATATCTTCATCTCAGGAACTATAGGCTTTTTTAAATCAAATATACAATATTTTTGGGAAACTCCTATACTATTGAAAAGCTAAATAATGCAGTACTTGTTACATTTTGTTGCGAAAATAAGAAATTGATCCACAGTGGAAGGTTATTCATAGCTCTTATTCTTTAGCTGTAGTGTTGCCTGGAATTCCCTGCCAGTTGCAATAAATTGGTACAAGACTTAGTAGATGTGCTACTCAAGTTGACAGTGGCTGAAAATTAGCTTTATTCTATTACTTATGTAGCAGGGCAGAAGCTGCTGTCAAAAAATATTGTGCAGTGCATGTACCCGATGATTATTTAAACAGACCAAGCTGTATAATTACCTCTGTCTGACTATACCTTTATATACTTGTATGTGTAGACTACAATTTATTGCCCAGTTTGCTATGCAAACTTCTTTCAGTGAGTTGTTATACCTACACATTGTTATAATGCAGTGTAGGCTGTAGTCATAGAGTTGATGTTTTGTTATGGTTAATATACTAATTACTCTCCAACAAAAGAACACGTTCACAAGATATACATCCACTTTGAATCACAGGTCTTCAAATAAAAATCTTCTTACTAGAACACAGATTACTAGGAGCTGGAGTTATTCTCGATTGTGTGATCGTTGGGTCACGTGACCTATAGTTGAACGGCCATTCACCCAGTACCCCTCTAGACAGTGCAGTCTCAGCAGTCATTAAGTAATCAGCGTAAGATTGATTAATTATACAATTAGAATTTAGAGTTGAGTTTATTGATGCAAATCAATTAATTTGCTGAGTTAAGAGCATTACAAAAATTTAAAAAAGTGTTAATTACATCTAAAAACATTTCATTAAATAAACAAGTGTATCAATATCCCCAAGGTGTACTGACAGGTTTCTCTTCCTTTGTGGGCTGTTTTTAATGAAACTGCCGCCACAGCTTGAAATTTGCTATCAGTTGAAAGCTGCAGTTGCTCACCCATTTTACCTTGCACAATTACTGTATGTTTATAAATACATTGATATCACAGCCCTGATCAATACGTATCCACCCCCTTGTCCTTTGCTGCTGTCTTTCCCCTCAGATTTCCATGCTGATATCACCTTAGACACCAATCCATTCCAATAATCACCCTTGCTTCACAATTGTTGGGACCTCATGTTGCATCCATGCTTGCCATGATTACAGACAACAAGGCCTGTCAGGCATTTTACCACATGGCTTTAAGCATGCTGGGATGTTATTTTTTTAATTAATGCGTGAGGCAACCCTCTCTTTTAATATACTCGGTGTCCCTCATTTACCCAGGTGTTTCAATTTTTTTTTCAACTACTGTACATCATAATAAAGCACCTGGTATTCTGCTGCAGAATGCCATTCCAAGTACATTAGCTGTTATCCAAGCTATGGAGAAATTGACCAAACACAGTAGTGTTAAAAGAGCTGAAAAAACGTTGCTAAAGGACATACGAAATTTGAAAATTGTCCTTGTGAGACATGCAAATCTGGTTGATCTAATGCAGTGGTTTAAGTATTGTAAAGTTCAAGTGCACAAAACACGTAATAAAACTGAAGAATTCAGAAAATGTACGGTAAATGCACAAATCAAAACAAAACTATTTTGTTAACACATGATATATAGTACATGTTCCTGATTATCATTTTCATTTCATGCCAGATTGTCCGTGATACTGTAATGGATATGTAATTGTGTTGATAGCAATAAACACCTCTTTAAAACTAAATGCTTGTTCACATACTATACATTGTAGTAATTAAATGACTGACTGTGATGATTAAGCTCTCACAATGGGATAATTACTTCAGAAATGAATTTAGAAGAGGCTATATTGACCTCTTGGTGCTGCAAGACAGAAATAGAGGTTAGAAATCTAGTTGAGAAAAACAACAGGCTCTTCTATGTATTACCTAAGTAAGGTAAGGAGAGAAGTCACAATTTCAGTAGTGAGTATGTCCTCTGCTTTAGCAGAAGAAAACCTCATTAGCCTAGTCAGAGATAGAACTGGAGCTTGGGAAATGACATTCTATGCACTGTATGCCTTCAAAGTACTCAGAAATGACAATTACTGGTGTCTCTGAAGTACTTGATGGAATTTAACGTATTCTATCAGAGCAAAGCTTATGATCAGGCTGTTAAATCCTATTCCAGTGTTGGTTAACCCACTGAAGTTGACTTTGGAGGCATTTTGGTATATCATGCGCTTCGGAAACAGTTTGATGAGGATAGATTCCACTTTCACATAGAATTTCAAAGTTGTAAGAAGTCTCAGCTGACTGAAAATACGTAATTGCACAAAATACTGTGTACATTAAGCTTAAGCAAGTGATTTTTTAAACTCTGAATGTGTTCTCAGTTATTCACAGCCTTTTTTAAAAAAAAAATTGGATTGGATAATTATCATGCTGTACCTTCCCAATTTGACATTTTCAATTATTAATCAGCTTGGCTTACTGCTACAAATCCTTTGCTGCACGGGGAAAATATGGACCTGTGCAAGTATTCCTCTGACATATCCATCTGTCAGAGCCATTTGACTTGCTGTGAGCTCTATGGTGCTTTACAGAAGAGTTAGCATCAATTGGAGGTGTAATATGCCTCTGACAGCAACACTACTAGCACAGCGGGTTTGTTGTTGTGTAGCTTGTTTAGGATATCATCACATATCCAACTCAACCCACCCACCAATGGTGGCATTTATCCTGTTGCATTGGCACTTCATGAATCTGGTAACAGTTTGCAGATGACACAGCCTGGTTTTGAACTGGCACCAATACGACAGCTGGACAACTGTGTCTCAACCATTGGCCTTTAATGTTTGAGCCACTTGGGAGGTCTGACCCATTACCAAGCCTTCTGAACCATTTATTGACATAAAATGGGTATTCTGAACAATATCATGTCTATATGTTTGCTTTTGTGCTGATGACTGTAGCATTTGCTTTTTGTATTTCCTTGTTTATTTTACATTTCTTACAGAAAAGCACTACTTCTCCAAATAATTTTGCAATGATCTAACGCTTTAGTCCATGTCTTACACTGGTTTTTACTTTGGGATGTTCCTACAGCAAAAGCATATTGTGTTGCTTAATAAATGATACAAGCCATTTTATTGAAAGATATGTTATATATAATATATTGATTATGCTTCTATAAAAACAGGTATATTTCTGTACCAGTCTGCTTTGATTCATTGTGATTCCTTTTTATGTTTTTTTAATGCTAAATCTTCATGGTTATTGTCTACTTTAGTTGGGAGAATAAAGAAGGAAAGATTAATATAATTTTATTTGACACTTATTTTTGTCTAGTATTTCTGATTTTGCTAAGGTATTCAATTTTTCTGTTATTAGCTTATTACTATGGGAAGAAGAAAAAAGTTATCAAACCAGCTATTGGTGAAAATCTCCCGGACAGCGGACTGGCCAAGCCTGCTCGTCGGAGGAAGAAACGCAAATCCATTTTCGTGCAGAAGAAGCGCCGCTCATCTACAGTGGACTATACACCAGCTGGTTCTCCGCAGGTAAGGCTGGGAGAATAAGACATCTCTCTCTTCATCCACCTACTTCATATGACATATGAAACTAGGTAACTCCCCAGGCAGTTTCAAACATTGTTTCGTTCTGATTTACTTTTATTCAATTCGATTTATACATAGAGGTGAAAGCTACTTTAATTTCTTAACAATATTGTATTATTGTCCAGTCCTGTGTGCCCTTGACAACACCATACCAATACTTAAGGTATAATGGGGGTTTTAGTGTTTATATATATTTTTTTAGACCTTTGTAAAAAATACCAACATCATCATTATAATCAACATAAGGTTTTCTTTATGTAACCAGATAAGACAGTAAAACTCAGCCTGTCTCAGTATTCGTACCCAATCCATTTTCATTATGTTTGTCATTTTGATTACGTGCATTTTTGTTGCCTGTGGCTGATACCTTAAGGGCTGAACATGAAAACAGATGCCTCAGATCAGGAATGGGCAGCTCCAGTCTGAAAGAAAGATTACAAACAAGGGGAGGACAAGAAGTGCCTCCTGTTTTGTGTTGTAAATGCAAATCGCCGTAGTGTCCACTAATTTGTGTTTTACTGTTTATGTCAAAGAAGTCCACTGTGTTGACTTGGAGGAATTTGAATGCTAAGTCTCAAGTCCCCTTGTAGTCTTCCCTCTTCAGGACTAAAAAGATTCTGTTCCTTCTGCCTCTCAGTGTAGAAGATTCCCTTAAGACCCCAAATGCATCCAGCAGCTCTTCTCTGGACTGATTCCAAAGCAGCAACATCTTTTCTTTAATATTCGTTTTTACATGTGCTTATAATTCATTGTACTCCTCTTCTTTAACTGGATCCTGTTGTTTTTAATCCTTTTATAAAGCATTCTTTTCTTATATATTTTCCTATTCGAATTGTTTAACCATTTGGAATATCAGTTTTTGGCTTTTGATTAGCTCATTCTTGGGATAAATTTGTTCTGTGCTTCAAGCAGAATCTGTCTAAGAAGCTAAGTAGCCTTCCATTCTCCATTTAATTGTATCTTGTCCCATTTTACCTCTCTTCAGTTCTGTCCCCTTCCTTCAAAGTCAGCTTCCCAGAATTAGTAAACTTTTGGACTTTATTTTGCCAAACTTCAAAACGCAAGGTTTTAAGGGATAGAGTCCTGTGAGTTGTAGAGGTGCTTTTCAATCAACAAATGATTAAAACCAGAAAACAGTGGTATTACTTCTTATAAGGTCATTATTATCTAGTATATGAATTATTACAATTACATTAAATTGGTAACTAGACAATGATGATTAATCTGAGATGTTAGGAAGGAATCTAAGCACAAAGATATTTTGTAACCTTAACAACAGTTATGATAAACAGAAAGATAAAGTGACCTTGAAAAAAATGATCAGTTTTTCCTACTGGTGTGGTATCATAAGCAATATCATCTTACTTCCACCTCTGAAGATTGTATGCTCATATCTAGCCATACATTTCTCTTTGTGTACGAAGTATATAGACGCAGGGTGTCTGCCAGAGGGTGGGATGGAAGGGTGCGAGGAAGCTTCGGCACAGCTCCTGATGCCAGACTCATTCTGCTGGCTGTTACAGGACAGCGAGGAGGACGAGGATCCGGAGGGCGCCGAAGACGACACCGGCAGTGAGGCGACCAGCTCCGAGCCGCGCGACGACCACACAGACGCCTCGTCAGTGGAGGTGGTGAGCAGCAGACCTCGGAGGGCAGTGACTTTGAGGCGAAACACAGACTCCGGCGGATCTGCCAGCACGGAGAGGTCCCGGCGCAAAAGGACCACACGCTCAGGGTCCTACACTGAAGACGTGAAGTACCATCCCGCCAAACGCACAGCTACAAAGGTGAGACCTGCTCAATAGTGGTAATGCCAATATAAAAAAAACACCTCGTGTCTAAACGTGTAATTCTATGTTATACTTTATCTTTACAGAAAATATTTTTAAAAAAACATAAGAAAGGTTACAAATGAGAAAAAGCCACTCGACCCATCTGGCCTATTTGGTAGTCAGTAGCTGTTTAATCCAAGGATCTCATCAAACTGTTTCTTGAAGTAAAGCAAAGTATTGGCTTCAGGTACATGGCCAGGTAGCTTGTTTCATACTCCCACAATCCTTTAGGTTAAGAAGTGCCACCTATTCTCAGGTTTAAATACGCTTCCACAGAGTTTCCACTTGTGCCCTCCAGTTCATGTTTCACTGTTCATTCTGAAGTCCACTGTCCATAGATCAACAATATCCTGGTCACTCCACAAAGGGGGCTTATATGGAAATGAAAAAAAACCCAACACACTAACCTTAAGGAATTTGAATGCCAAGTATCAGGTTACCTTGTAGTCTTCTTTGTACAACTTAGTAAGCCTGTCGGTATTGGACATTACTTTAAGTCCCAGAATACATCTGGTTGCTTTTCTCCGAATTGATTCCAGAGCAACAATATATATGTTTGTGCTGTACAGATATAAAATAACACAAAGGTTTCTTTGTGTTCTGTCTGCACTACAGCTCAAGCTTCTGTTAAATAAACTTATCATACATTACATGTCTTTTTGTACTTTGCGGTATGTTTATCCCATATGCCAAATTGTTTGATGCTTTCAAATCTCCAAAACTATTTTAAAAGTACTGTTTTTAATTATTAGAAAAATAGATTTGCACTAATAACTGTGGTATAAATTGTCTTTCCCACAACACAAGTGCACTCATTATTCTCATTTGATATGATCTTAAACATTATATATCATATATGTTATACATATTTAGTTTAGGCTTTAGAGGTTTAATAATGATTAAACCATAGAATCCTTGAAAAATCTTAATTTTACTATTTCTGATCTAGGACTAATCAGAGAAATCTAGGGTGCTTCATATACTCATTTGTTTTATATTGTTTAATAAGTCTATATTCCACAGACAATTAAGTCAAGTTTACCTTTCATTGACTTCGATCTTTGTGGTTAAAACAATATTTTTCAGCTTTGTTTTTTTACCTCCAAGAGTTGTAAATGTAATGTCTGTTGCGATCAGTGTTGACACAAAAGAAATCTTCAGTAACTGTATTTCTGGAGCGGTTTTTGAAAAATTGCTTCCACAGTTAAACAAAGTCTTGTCTGGGCAGTCAGGTTTCTTTTATAAATCTTGATTCATGAACTTTAAAGTGTTGTCATTTTGGAGAGTAGAAATATAAATTAGTTATTTCTAAACCGAGTTTCCTTTTTAAACATTTTTTAAATAAAATATTTAAAAGAATAGAAGAAAGCTCTCTGTTGTGTCATATGTAGTGGCTGGGATATCTGCCATTTTTATGGAAATAAATAAGAAACATATTATATTAGTGATATGCGATACTTCCATCTTTGCAATCGGAAAAAACCTTGTTGCTTTTAAATACACATACCTGTATACCGTATAAATAGGGGAAACCATACAGGAACCATACATAAGGAAATGAGAATATCATCATATATTAATATGTTCCTTCATTTTATGTGTTTTCTGCTGCTTACTGCCAAAGCTGTTTTCTAATACCTGTGTTTACCTATCATTTAGGTTTTCCAGTTAGTGTGTACATTGATATGTGATAATTAGGAAATTAGAATTAAATATACCAAGGACTACCATTGTCCTTAATGTCATCTACATGTTGGGTTTTTTTCACCACAAATCCAGGTAGAAACTTTTGAAGATGAAGACAGACTGGTTCTGGACAGCAACCCACTAGAGTGGACAGTGGCAGATGTTGTCAGGTTTATTAAGTCTACAGATTGTGCTCCTCTTGCCAAAATATTTCAAGAACAGGTATTAACAAGCATCAAACTGTATTGAACAGACATTTTACTATTTCTGATCCTATGCATATGATTGGCATGCCTTTACTTCATTTTACAGCACATCTTTCTTCCTCATACTATTGTGATACTACTTTCCTGGCTCTTACAGTCCTATCCTCTTGAATTATTTCCACTGTACACATACTGTAGAAACTCTGTAAGTTTATATATTTAATACAGTGAGGCATGTACAGTATGCCTTTCATCTTTGTGGAGTAAAACTAAATATGTGCTCTCTGTCTTATGAGCATGACTTTTATGTTTTCTTCTTTTCCCAGGATATTGATGGCCAGGCACTACTTCTTTTAACACTTCCAACAGTGCAGGAGTGCATGGAGTTAAAACTTGGACCAGCCATAAAATTATGTCACCAGATTGAAAGAGTAAAATTTGCATTTTATGCACAGTACGCGAATTGACTCTACCGCCAAATGTGAAAGACTGACATGTATTACATGAAAGGTACTACAGTGTATGTTACTGTTGGGTTTATTCAGTGTGATTTTTTTAATTGATGCAGTTTATTTTTTGAATATGGGTCTTGAAAACAGACTATATGGTCTAAAACCAGCTCAGTGCAAGTCTTAAAGGAATATAGATGGAATTCTGTACCCTCTGTATAATGTTGTTGCTTCATTACTCAGTGGTTCTTGTACAGTTCCATGCTATTTACAGGGAAATTTCAATCAAGTGGCTACAGCTTATAGCAACATCCAGTTAGCTGCAGTGTTACTTCACAGCAGCAGTGTTGTTTGTGTAAGTTAAGTGTCATATTGCTGATGACGTCCATTCTCAATGCAGTTTTATAGTTTGCTTTTAAACTGTAAATTTGAATTTGCTACAAAGCTGAGATTTCAATTCAGAAGCCAGGATAAAGCATTCTAGAATAAGCCATATACTACGAAGTCAAACAGGGACACCTCTTTGAGTTTATTCTGATCCTCTGATTTTGCTTGGATAGTGAAAAGTTTCGGTAATAGAAATAAACAATTTTCGATCCTGGACAAGAATTGCTGGCCTACCAGGCTAAAAATGAGTTTTTCATTGCAGGATATAGTTAGAGGTACAGTATGCGACACCTTTTTATTAGGAAAATGCGATTAAGGAGATGTCTCTTTTTAATTTAATTAAAGTGTTTTATTAATATTGGTAGCTAAAATCACAATTAAAACAACAGTAGCTTATGTGAGGTGAAATATTTCAGAAGTGCAATGCTCTTTACTTAATTGGGTTCATTTTTGTTTTGTTGTTTGAAGCTGATTTAGGCTTTTCTTCACACTGCATAATTAAGCAACATGCAGTAATCTGTTTTAGATGGAGTAGAAAATAATAGTAAAGAATATTTTTACAGATTTTTATTTTGCATGTTACGAAGCACATTGCACATGCCCATCAGCCAAACAAAGTTAATTTAATTAGGTAAAAATAGCTACATTATATCAACTTTATTCTGTGCAATGTGTCCCTATATTCAAAGAGCTTTGAAGATACTGTGAGTTCTTTTAAGCCATGAAGTTATTGGTATATTTTTGTTAGTTGCAATTGTTTAGATAAGAAACTATATTTATGGACTTTTAGTTTAGGTATCATTTAAAGTTTGTCAATCAACATATGATGTACTTTTTCAATTATTATTTTTGAAGACAACCTCAAAGTCATTTTAAAAAATATTTTTATTGTATGTTCCAATTGTATTTTACCTACAGCACCCTGGTTTTTAAAATTAATCCTTCAACAACATACATTTGCAATTAACTGATTTTATATCATACTTTTGTCATTTTCCTTGGGTAACAATAATTCAACTGTGAAACAAGTTAAAACTTGTATTATTTACCCAACTATGCAAAATGAAATAAGAAAAAAAGTTCATAAAGTGTTAAAGAAGTCAATTTTGTACAGATTTTTACAAAGCTTTTTGTGCAGAAAAATTGCAATTCATGTTCCATTGTTTCTAGAAGCTGTTTATAACCAGAATGTTCTTGAAAACACCTTTCTAATATAACTAATAATCCACTCTTTGATTGACCTGGACAGTTTTTGCATGCATAAGATGTCATATTATAAGCATTAAAAAGAAATGGTTTACAGGACTATACTGTAACGTGTAGTCTTGTTCAGCATTTCTTTGAGACTTCATTTCTTGAGGAGGTTGATGTTAACCAGTTTCTGTTCAGGTATTATTCATTTAGGTGGGAGGTTGGTAAGTTGTGACAAGAGAAAGTCTGTTCTTTATATCAGAGAATTGTGGCCGACTGAAAGGTACCAGTACGTTGGAGTATCTGGAGGAAGGTGTATCACTATAAATTCATTGCTTGTGCTCAACCTTTAGGTCTGAACTGCTGAAGTTTCTAAAACAAAAACTAAAGCTGGAGCCCGTGTGAGATCTTTGCCATTAATGTTTATTTTTAATGTTTTGCTTTGCTTCATTGAAATAAATAGTTTCTTTTGTTTAATTAAGAAAAATCTAATGCTTAAATTTGGAGTCACAGTGATGGGGTTGATTTTTTTCAGTCTAAACAGAATGATAAAATTATTTCCGGCTAAATATGCCTTCTGTACATATGTTTTCATGTAAATAATTAATTATTATATTCAGATATCTATTTTAAATGTTTGCTCAATTCAGAGATGTCTGTTTGTACATGTTGAATCAAAAGGCACATTGAAACAAAATAAAAAAAAATTGAAAAAAACAAACTTCATTTTGTCATTTTCTGCACTGTTTTCACTGGTTAAGTGACTTTAGTGTTCATACTTAAAAGATGTAAAGATAGAACAGAAGCTGAAAATTTTGAAAGGGTGGCATATCTGATGAAACACACGCAAAGAGAAGAAACCCCGAAAGCAGCACAGCATCGTGGGAACCCCGTTAATGCCAGGTTTTGGATGTTTCTCTCACTGCAGTTTTATGCTGTCCACATTTTGAAATCCATCCTCCTCCTGTTGTTGCCTCAGCATCAACAACATACAAGTGTGATCCCTGCATCTTTCAACGCAGTAGTGTTCGGCCTTCAAAACATGGATCACTCAGGTGCTTCAGCTACGATGGGAGGTCATGGTCAACACCCAGGGCTACTGTAACACTACATACATATGTCATAAAACCTGTGTCATAAAACCACGGCCAGTTAAAGTCGATGGAACTGTAGCTGATTACAGTTTGAGTGGCGAAGCATTCTTTGTGGTCTGTGGGGGATGTCCTTGCTAGTGTGTCCCACATTATATTTGTGATTGTGTTTAAGGCCTACCTTAACAAACCTTGTATTGTTGCCTTAAATAGGAGAACTTGGCTTTATACACCATGTGACCCCGATCAAATTTTCCCCTTTTTTTAGATCATTTTCAAATGCTGTCAAAAACATGTTAACCAATAATGAAAAGATGTTTCAGCCAAACCGTGTAGAATAAATTAAGTGAATTCCCTCTAACGTTTGCTTGCATAGGGAGATGTATTTGTAAAGAGCTGAGGAGCTGGTTGGGTATTGTCTAGTGATATGAAAGTAAGGAGTTTTATTCTTGCTAGTTATTGTGACTCGCCAGGATTGTGAGTCATGGCTAAATTGAGGTGATCCTTATTCTGCAGTTGCTTTAACTATGAGAACAGACATACTGTATATGTTTTTTTTTATATTGTATCAATCCAGTCTTTGCGAAAGTGCTTCTTTTTAAGTTCGCATGTCATACCACATTGTTTGAGTTTGCCAAATAAATAAGGTTCTGTAGTTTGTAATGTTTTTTTTTTAATTTATGCAACTGCATTGTCTTTTGGAAAAAAATATTTAGAAAAATAATACCAAAACAACAAATTAGCTCTATGTATTTTTATACATACTGTAAGACGTTCAAAAGGCCCGAAAAAAATAAATTCAGGAATTTGTTTGATTTTTGTCTTTAATGCATGAAATCAGTTTAAAACTTCACTGTCTCTTGACATTTGTATTAAGTCGTTCTGAAAATGAGATATACATTTACAGTACTGTTTGTTCAGCAGATATCTTTACAGTTGCTAGGCAACATAATTTTAAACTTCTGCTCTGCATGATTTATACAGCTGGTTCTCCCTAAACAAGAGAAGTTTAGAATTAAATGAGAGACAAATACCTTAATTACAGTAAATTAACTTCAACTGTACTGTTACTAATGTTTTACACTGGGTAGTAACCACCAAAAATGCCAAATGGCACATTCAACCAGAAATTAAACTTAATCTTTCCCAATTATAGTAATGTGTACTGTAAAGCTTAGTAATGTATAAGTCAATATATGTAGATTTCAAATTACAAGTTTTTATTATTGTACTTTAATTCTATGAATAATTCATATATAGAATTAATGATTTAATACAAAGGAATTCCAAGGCTCTGGTTCAGGTGACAAAGGGTGCTTTATATTACATGGAAAGGACAGGAGATAGACCATGAGTTGGGATGATGAAAAACTGAGGTGGCTTGAGCACATATGAGTGGCTGGAAAAAAAAACGAATGCCCAGGTGCTACATTTCTCCACATGTTCATATGCTGTGATTTCTCAGTGTGGACGGTCTGGTTTGCTAACATTCCACGAAGAACCTCGTGCTCTCTGTTCGCAAATACCCACGAACCTGAAGTGTTTTCCTGCTACTACGTAAAGGATGTTTATGTGGTTTTTATTCAGCTGTAAATGCCGATTCGTTATAACATTAAAGCAAATTGGTAATTTGAACATAATTTCAAGTACATACTGTATGTGTTATGTTATTCAAGATTGCTATTCACACTTCCTTTACTCTTTTACAGTACATGAAAATATTAACGTCATGTAAATATTCTTTAATAGACATTCTCTCATTAAAAACTGGAGAAAAAAAATTAAAAACCAAATTGCACAACTGTGTATACAACCTAACCCATGAATGAAACCGTTTTTATTTTCTGTTGGAATTGTCAGTGAATTACCTTATCTCTCATCACCAGTATAGTGCAAAATATCACAGCTTATCATTTTTACATACTGTGAGCACTTTACAACACAGTTTATGTCAATGGACTCATTTAGCATTGGCTCTCTTACACAAGGTGACATCAACTCGTGTGGCAGGGGGCTCGGTCTTTTAGTTGACCTGTTCTCTCCTCTGTCTGGAGAGTGGCTGGTGCAGCTAGTGCGAGGCTGTAATCAAATCCTTGTCAGCTGTCACATTGATAGTAACTGGAGGAACAGTGCTTCACTCTGATATCACTGACAGGTATAAGGAGTTGGTGTTATGCTGCAGTTTGAGGAAGGCCTTGTTAACAATAATATTAATAGTAATTTCTTACACTTATATAGCGCTTTTCTGGACACTCCACACAAAGCGCTTTACAGGTAATGGGGACTCCCCACCACCACCACCAATGTGCAGCATCCACCTGGATGATGCGACGGCAGCCATAGTGTGCCAGAACGCTCACCACACTACACTTCAGAACTACAGTATGTAGGGATTATTAGGGATCCCTGATTCTTAAAGGCCAGGGGGAAATTTGGCCAGGACACCTGGGTAACACCATCATTTACTGCAACTTTTCACTACTCTTTTCAAGAGAAGCCATGGAGTTTTTAAATCCCTGTTTACTGAATCTCACCCACAACAGCAGTGTGAAGTCTTTCTGTCTTGAAGGCTCCAAGGATAAGATTTCTTTGCAAGTATAAATGTTTCAAAGGTGTCAGTATGAAAAATACCCAATTCTAACAGCTTTCACACCCGATAATACTTTTACTTGACACCTTCAGATTTCAGGTTTACAGCCAGCACTTTTACAAGAACTAGGTCTTGACTTGTGCATTAAATAGCTGAAGGTTTTTCAGAGAAAGATATCAATCATGACTGAGAAAAAATCTTTTTGATCTTTATATTTATGAGTTATAAACCTGCTGTACTCATCAGAAAATGTTTTTAAAATATTTTGAAACTCATATAGACTATATTAGGACAAACTTTAAGTTTTGCAGCTAAACAACTTTATCCTGATTTCTAAGGATAATAACTACATTATTGCAATATAACTATATTTTCAGCACAACGTGTTAATTCCCAGTATCGTAGACCTGCCTCACATGAACAGTTTTATGTAATTTTTTTTGTCAAGCATGATAGTTGAAAATGTTTTAGCTGTTGAGCAATGTTCTTTCATATATTAAAAATAACAAAGGTTTGTGGGGAAAAATATCTGTAATTTTACTAGATAAGCAATGAAAATGCAATCAGTCCAAATTGCACTCAATGATGGTGTTTATGGATAATACGAAGAAACAGAAGTAAATGCCCTGCAGTGAGAAATTGAGACTTGAATAACAGCTTTCTGGTAGAGTAAATGGAATCCCAATGTAAGTTGAAATTGCTTTTGTAAGTGTCTTACCAACACTATACTGAGGAAACTACCTTAAAAGACAGAAGAATAGACTTTACAAAAAGACAATCCAGAGATATACAAGAAGCAATCTGGCAGCACAGAAACAAAGTATTTTCTGTCATATGGATTCCACTCTTACAAAATAATTTTCTTACAGCAGTATGAGTGTAATCATTAGTAACAATTGTGAATGAACACACCTTATATTTTAATACCATTCAAAAACACAATAAAGTGCAATGAAGCATTGCATGATAAAATAGTTCTTGGAAAAGCATGATAGTACAATATATATATATACTGTATATGATGGTATGGTGATACGGTAAAACATGAGACAGACTCTGGGAATGCAATGTCAGTGTAGAGGTAATTATTCATTACTCTAACCATTACAGATAGTTACAATATTTTAATAGACAAGATATACCTAACTAGTATGTAACTTGTCCTAATGTTTTGGAAATGTTTTTGTCTTATTTCAAATGGTCCAATATGTCTTCCTGTGACATTCAGTTCTACGCTGCATACATGCAAATTCTGCTCTCTGCAGTGTGTAAGGCGATATTCAATCTTTCAGGCATCCCTGTTGGTAAAAATCACCTGAGTTCAAAACAGATGGAATTCGGTGCTCAAGCCAGTCCTGAGTCCTTGAGTATGAAGGAGCACATGTGAAAAAGAACTTTTAGAAATTTGTTGGCACATGACAATGACAATAACAACTGCCACTGTGGGATACCAGAAGATGTCATTTCTCTTCTTTTTTAGCTTCATGCACAAATTTGTGCACTTCCCTTTATAGAGAGTAGAGTTTTGAATGCCTATGGTATAATGATCTGATAAGTAAGAATTACTTTGTGACAGAAATTAGAACATTCAAACTCTAAGAAGCTACCTAAATGTACTGTGGTACACTCCTTGGAGGAACTCCTTTGAGGAATGTGCATGTACTGTAATAAGTCATCCGTAGCCGCCCTTCCAATTTAGGAAGAATTGCATAGGCATAGCCTAATTTTGTGCCCATGTTTGGATATGCTAGTTCACAAACGACAAATGACTGGATATTTTTAGGATGAAGTATTTATACTTGTAATTTTAATTGTCTTTGTTAGTTCTTTTCATAGTTGATGAGTGTGGTGGTTGTACTTTGGACATGGTGGTGGTGTCTATTGCTTCATCTGTAGTGCAAGGGTTGGGCTGCATGGTTGTTGTCCAGCCATTCTCCCTGTAGGTCAAAGCAGAGCTTTCCATTGGCCAGTTCAGTTAAAGATTGATTTGCCAGAATTTGTTTTCT